GGAGGCGCTCAGGTGAACGAGAGGAACGCGAGAGGAGAGACGCCGCTACTCGCCGCCTGCCGATCTCTCCGCGCACACCCGTCAGAACCCATGCTGAGGCTGATCCAGTTTCTCCTGAATAACCGGGCCGACCCGAACATCCAGGACAAGACGGGCCGCACGGCGCTGATGTACGCCTGCATGGAGCGAGCCGGAGCCGAGCTAGCATCCGCTCTCATCGTAGCCGGAGCCGACGCGACTATGGAGGATTACTCCGGAGGGAGCGTCGGCACTCGTCTACGCCATTAACGCGCAGGATCCGGACACACTAACGGTGCTCGTGGACGCCTGCAGATCCCGAGGACGCGAGATCATCATCATAGCCACGGATCTGAGCTGCGACGCTAGCGCTAGCCGCTATCTGAACGTCGCGCCGTCGCCCGACACCTCGCCCGTCTCCTGCATGTCTCCCTCGGACATCGAGCTCAACACCAACTCTCCGAACTCCGACGGCGAAAACATCTTTAGTTTCCGAGCCGACGGATCTCCGGCGCGGAGCAGAAGCCGGCTGCGGTCCGAACCGTGGCTCGCCATCCAGAACCTGGCGGCTCTCAGCCACGCCTACGAGAAGAGCCTGGAAGACGCCGTCGAAGAGGGAGAACAGGATAAACACTCACTTCGCAGAGGTTTCCCAGTGGAGGAAAGAGATGTGAAGCTCAGGAACCCATCGGAGCGCAGAAACACGTTACCGGATCTCCTCCCGGCGCCGTCACTCAAACTCACGCTCTCCGGCTCGGACACACACCTCCACCGGACGCCGTTCGGGTTCCCGTCCGTCCACAGAACCGGCTCGCTGTTTCTGGCTCCGCCTGACGGGCTTCGCTCGGGGAACAGGAGGTCCAGAGAGCAGATGAGCGGGCTCTTGCCTCCTCTTCCCGATCGCTCCGGTGGGAACGAGCCGCTCCGGGACTCGCTCGCTCTCGCTCCGGTACGCCGTCTCTCGCTCCAGCTCCAGGAGACGCTGTGAACACGCCTTCGCTAATAAAACTCGGACATTAGATATCATGAACCTGAAACTGTAAAACACTGTTTTAGGAAGATAAATAAAGAAGAAAAATATCACCTGACTTTTTGCTGTTAGTTTTTTTAATACAATAAATAAATAAATAAAAGGAAATAAATAAACAACAAAAAACCTGCCTTTTTTGCTGAAAAAAAAACACAACTAATTTTGACACTAAAAAAGAGAACTTGCCACTAAATAAATTAGTAAATGTAAATAAATAAATAACAAAAATTCCACTAAATAAATTGATAAATGTAAATAAATAGAAACAAATATTGCCATCTTATTGCTGATTTGTTATTTACAATTTTTTTGCCACTAAATAAATTAATAAATGTAAATAAACAAAAACATAAAATATCCTGACTTTTTGCTATTACAAATAAATAAATCAACATGAAACCAAATTTGCAACTCTTTCAACTCCCACAATCTAAAATATAACAATAACTTAGTTCTCTTTGAAATGACCATGTCATAATCTGAGATCAAAATAATATTTTAGATATTATTCAAAAATCACACACACACACAAACTGACACATGCACGCTCACACACACACAAACTCTCTCTCACACATATTACACACACAAACTGACACATGCACGCTCACACACACACACACACACAAACTCACTCTCTCTCTCACACACACACACACACACACAAACTGACACATGCACGCTCACACACACACAAACTCACTCTCTCTCTCTCTCACACATACACACACACAAACTGACACATGCACGCTCACACAAACACTCACTGTCTCTCACACACACACACAAACTAACTGACACATGCACGCTCACACACACTCTCTCTCACACACACACGCACTCACTCTCTCTCACACACACACACACACACACACACACACACACACACACACACACACACACACACACACACACACACACACACACACACACACACACACACACACACACACACACACACACAAACACACACACACACATAAATGAAGCTGTTAATAAGTTTGTTCAATCTGAATATAAGAGTTTAATGAGAAAGAACCTGAATGTGATGCAGAAATAAACAGCACAGGTGCATCATTACAGGCTGACATTAATGAAATGTTAAAACATTGTTCATATTCTTTGAGCAGGAAAATGTATTCAAACAACAGCGTCGCTCAATGGATCCCGAACCCTGGGACAACAGCTTTAGAAAACCTGGAGTTTCACGACTGCAAGTTCAAACGCAGCGAGGCTCCAACAGATCAATCATCATAATCATAACAGGAATCATAATCTCAACAGCACTTACCTTTTACTTAAAGAGAACTTACTTCAATATTCATGTACTTTGTAAAATCACACCTTCGGAAACCACTAAAGTGTGTTACTGGAGTAACGAGAGACTCACGAGGCAACATTTCCACAGATGGATGATCAGTTATTAAAACATGCGCATCACATGCTGTACTTGCCTACCAACAAATGTCAATATTAACTTAAAATATAACTCGTAAATATGCAAATAACCCAGGATTTTACAAATATACAGTCATGATTACTGAGGGTTAATCCAGGGTCAAATCTGTGACCGGAAACACAGAGCAAGATCCCTGATGATTACGTCAACACGTCTGATCGACAATTTCAAGTGTGAAATTCAGATTAAAGTAAATATGTTAAAACATTAAAGATCGAAACATCAGCTTTCAGCATCAGGCCTGTTTCACACATGCGTCCAACAATATCATCATATTTTATGTATTATTTCACTTGTTTTTTTTTTAAATAGCGCTTTGAGGATAAGAACGGCACATTACAAATAAAGTGTATTATTATTATTAATAACAAATTTATGACATGTTCAATATTTCCTTAAAAATGATAAGTTTGGCATCTGGATTAGCAGTGTTCAACTCAACCAGAGGTCCCCGGATTTTGACATAAACAAAGGGTGTTGAAAAGCAAAATATTAAATCTCATGGAGGAATATTTACTAAGTAATTACTATTTTGTAGAGGAGGGTCAAAATGAGAATTTTGACCTGAGATTCGGAGCCAAATTACAGGGGGCTAAAAATTACATAAGAAAGATGACAGCATCATTAATTTAGTTTTACACAGAGATTGATAGATCTATTAGTGAAATCTGTTGACTTTTGTAATCTTTGTTGCATTATATACCAACCGTGACAGTTCAAATATGGGGCAAAAGCACTTTTCATGACTTCCCCCCCAAAGTTTGCATGCCTGTAACTCAAGAAGTATTAAACATATCTTAATATCCTTTTATATTCTGGTTCCTAATAAACTTTTCTTTTGATATCTTCAGTTGTAAGGCCCAATATGATCCAGTTTCAGAGATATGGGGATCTCAATGTGGCTCCAAGAGTAAATCGTTCAATTGTACATGGCCATTCCATGGTCAAAAAAACAGATTTGGGTCACTTTTCATACAGCTGATACTTTTTTCTTTTAAAGTGGAATATCTGAAGAACAAATAATGTTGAAACTAGAAATGCATTGTTTCCCCCCATAAAAGAATTGCATAGAACATTCCTGTCCGAGTGCCATAAATGCTCTTTTTCCAAAGTTTGCATGCCTTTAACTCAAGAAGTATTAAAAATATCGCAGTATGATTTTACATTCTGGTTCTTAATAAACTTCCCTTTTGGTATCTTCATTTTTAAGGCCCAATACAGTTCAATCCCACAGATATTGGGACCTCAATTCAGCTCCAAGTTCAAATTGTTGAATTTTACCCATTTTCAATGGTTTATTGATGTGAATACCGGTAATATGTGTTAGGAAAGCAAAACCCTTTCCTAGAAGGTGTGACATTCGTTTCAAACATGTAGTTATGATTTAAATTCTTGCTAGCTTCAGAAGCTGTTAAAATTAATAATATCCCTTCTTCCAAATACCTCTGACTGATTAAAATATAAATTATTATGTACAAACTTTTGAAAGCAAGTAATACTACTAATGTGCCTCAACATGACCATTTCAGTGGATTTTTGGCTCTGGACAGGAATGTTCCAATCAATTGTTTTGATAGGACAAAACAAAATACATTTCTAGTTTCAACATGATTTTATTCTTCAGACATTGCCCTTTAAATGTAATGAGTATTGGCTGTGTGCAAAGTGACTCATTTTTGGTTTTCAACCATTGAAATGGCTTATATTCAACAATTTGGACATGCATTGAGGATCCCATATCTCTACAGAACAGTGGATTACTCAGGCAATATACAGCCATGAAATTTAATATTTTGGCTTTCAATGCTCTTTATGTTTGTCTTTCACCAGAACTAATATTAACAAAATAAAAAAATTGAGCGGGGAAAGTTTCCGAATTCCATCATTATACTATGATAGTTTTTATTCATATTTTGAATTAGTTTGTATTTTTATATTTTCTGCTTTTTTTTATTTTAAGTTTTTTATTATAATTTTTTTAACAAATTTGGTAACACTTTACAATAAGGTCGCATTAGTTAAGGGTAGTTAATGCTTTAATATCTGTTACAGTATTTATAAACCTTTGTTAACATTAGTTCAACTGTTCAATGTTAGTTCATTTTATCCCAGGTCCATTAAATAATGTGACTTGGAGCAAAAATGCTACCAAAATTAATAACAAATACTTCCAAAAAGATATGGTGCAAAAAAAGTCTCCGTATAAATTTTTAAAAAACATTTATATTTTAAAATTTTTCCCGTATATCAGCACGTTTGCAAATGACAACAATTCAATAAACAATAAGTTAATAGGCTATTTAGTGACTTACATTTTAGACACAATATTGTCAATATGATCTTTTTTCCTCTATTTTGCCAATGAAAGTAGTTCTAAACTTTAGAGCCATTGCACGTCTCAGAACAGCACAGATTCAGTTTCGTCACCGAATGAATCTGCGTTTTTGAACGAACGACTCGACGACTCACTTCTGCTTTGTGCCTGAATGAATCAGCTGTTTTGAATGAATCGGATGAGTGAATGATTCAATGACTCACTCGCAAAGCCAATGAATTGCCGCCACCTACTGGTGGTTTCAGTATCATTTCATTTTTGCTGAGGGACTGAGTACCGAAAGTTGTTTTATCGTTAAGTTTAACTATAATAACCCTGGGTATTGTTAGAAACTTGATCATTATGAAACATTATTTTCATGGCAAGGGAGAAGTTGCATAATAACAGTGTAAGATGTGTGTAACAGGCCTTAATGCAGAAATGCAACTAAAGCTAATATCAACACAGTTACAATTCTAAGAAATCTCACTTTGAGACACGATATGTAAAACCTTGTGTGAGTGTGTGATCGTGTCCAAGTTCATCATCTCTTTCCGCTGTGCAAGCGCACGTGTCTGAGACAGTTGTCCTGTCTGGAGAAGGTCTTACCGCAAAAATGACAGCGGAAGGGTTTCTCACCCGTGTGCACTAGTCTGTGTGTTAAAAGACGGGTCCTCTGTGTGAAGCCTTTCCCGCACTCCTCACAGCGGAAGGGTTTCTCACCCGTGTGCACTAGTCTGTGTGTTAACAGCCGAGTCCTCTGTGTAAAGCCTTTCCCACATTCCTCACATCGGAAGGGTTTGGTTCCTGTGTGCTTGCCGGGATTTAGACTCTGTGGGAGCGTTTTGGGCAAACACGAGCTTGAATGTGAGGATGGGAGTGTGTTGAACGGCGTCGAGTCAGATGAGCTCGTTGTGGGTGAGTGTCTGTGGGAATCCGGAAAATTCAAGTCGTATTCAATGTCTGCAACGCCAAAGCTCTCGTTCTGCAGAACAGCCAATAAACCGGACTGAGTTGACGTGGTCGTCGGATCCTCCATCCCATATGGATCTGTAAAACTCTGGGAATGTTGCTCTGACTCCATAAGACTTTCTGGATGGTCGAATGCTTTCCCGGAACACCATAAACGAGTGTTTCCATCATGGCAGTGGTTTTGTCCTTCAAATTTCTGCTTTGCCTGAACTTGATTCAGTGTCTGATCCACAAGTTCTTCCACCTGTTCGATCTTCATCTCAAACTCCAGTCCGCTGAGCTCCTCTTCCTCCGGTTCCTTCAGCGGCGATATAGACTCTTCTTGTTTCAAAAGCTGTGAATTCACATCCACCGCATGTGAAAAGTGAGCTCTCTCCTCTGAGAGATTCTTCACAACAATCTTTTCCTGGCTGGGATGATCAGTCTGAGCTTCCCGCGAATGAGCCGTTACTCCTGTCGAGAAGTCATATGTCAATAAGACGTTTTAATTCAAATTCTACAACTAAACAAATAGTTACAGGTCTAAAATCTATATGGATAGCCGCTACAATCATTAGGCTAATGAACCATATTACTTGGAGCAAAAATAGCTTGATTAGAATGATCAAAACTGAAATGTTTTTAAAACTGGTGATGTTTATTGTTCGCAAACAGAACAGAATGGATATATCAGAGAAGAATGTTGTGGCGAGGGGGGCGTGGGAATGAGAAGTCTGCAGCGGGGGAACGAGTGTGGAAACGAACGGGATAATGAGGTCAGGTACATGATAACATCTGTCTCTAATTCCAGTGATTGGCGGAGAGGTGGGATATAAGATCCCCACAGACCTGGGACAGGGAGAGAGAGATTCATGCACTTTTCTGTTTGGTTTGTTTATGTTGTGATTATACGAGGCAGTGTGCCGACAGAGTCTCTTTTCCATTTTTGATTTTGGGAGTGAATAAAGACTGTTTGCTCGCCACTCGGACTTCGTCATTTCTATCTGTGAACGTTCTCCCGAGACGAAGAAGTCAAGCCATGCAGCCAGCTCAGCCAATGCCGCTTGCGGACCTCATCAAGTCGCTTGCCAGTCTTCATTAGACTCAACATCAGGGGCTGATGGACCGCAGGTTGGGGCAAGAGGATCGTTTCTGCCTGCTGGTCCAAGAGCAGGAAGAAGACCAGTGGGTCATCCGGAGGTTACTCAGCCAGGAGTTCACCTCGGACGAGTCCCGCTGGTGAAGATGGGTCCACAGGACCACCCAAAGGAGTTTGTGAACCTCTTTGAAATAAGAGGCATGTGGGTCCTACCCAATGGCTGGTGCGCCTGATCCCACAGCTGTCCGGGGAGGCACAGGTGGCAGAGCAACAGGTACCTGTATTGAACCTCACGGCCTATGACGATCTAAAGCGGGCCATCCTTCAACGGGTCGGTCGCTCCCCGGAACAGCATTGTCAGCACTTCCTCTCAGTGTAGCTGGGGGACAGCAGCCGACCTTTTGCCAAGGCCTAACAGCACAGGGACACTTGCCGCAAGTGGCTGATGACCGAAACAATGGAGCAGTTCATTGCTCGGCTGCCACGTGGTACGGCTGAGTGGGTCCAGTGTCACCGCCCGGCATCGTTGAATCAGGCCATCCAGCTGGCTGAGGATTATCTAGTGCCGTGCCCCGGGGTCGGCATCCCCCTCCCTAATCTCTCTCTCTCCAACCCCTCTCTTTCTGCTCTCTCTTGCCCTATTCCTGTTCCCAGGTAACAAAGTAACACGCCTCCTCGAACCCCACAGCGGGGAAGTTATTTCCAGGGGGCTAGATCTGCGACACGAGGGGGCCTGCTGGAAATACAGGGACCCGGGTCATTTCTAGGACCGGTGTCCAGTAATGGAGATGGGAATGTTGATCCAGGTCACTGACTCCCTGTGGGCGGCCCCCGATCAAGTTGGATGATCAAACAGCCAATCAGAGTTCTCTCTCTCACCGATGGCCCAACACTGATACTACATGTAGAATTGGCAAAAAAACAACATCCCACTTGAGTCAACGGTGCGGAACATGTCGGCCAATGCTTAAAAACAGCCCGTCTCTGCCAGATGGCTGCCCGTTGGCTTGGTGTGCTTCGCTTTAAAGAGGCTTGGTAGGAGGGGCCTTCAAACAGCCATAATGAAATTTAGTAAGTCATGGACCTCTGAGGAAAAACTCTACACGTTCCATGGAGAATTTGCTCAAAGCACAGGACAGACAAAGTCAGCTGTACAACAAAGGAACGCAACAGCATCTAGATCTAAGTTCTAAGGCAAGGAACTTTTGTGGTTGCACGGTGAGTTGGGGATCTGGATTATGAGGTAAGATCAACAGACAGGGGTGAGTCATGTCAAATTTATCATCTCAATCTTTTAAAAGGCTGGAATGGGGTGAGGTCGGTTGAGTTAGCAGCAGCCGTTCCGACAGAGGACGATCTCGGACCAGCAGCAGCTGTCAAAGCCTCATTCCGCGGATGCCACTCCCTACCTTGACAACATTATCATATAAAGTCATGATTGGCATCTGGAACATCTACGCGCTATCGTCAGATAGCTGGACTCACAGCGAACCAGCGAAAGTGTGCAATTGGGCGTGTGAAGGTACGTTATCTGGGTTTTCACTTGGGACATGGGCAGGTGCGTCCCCAAATTGATAAGACGATAACTGATAAAACTGCTGAAGTCCCAAGACCAAAAAGGAGGCGAGACAGTTACTGGTTCTGGTGGGATATTATAGGAGATATTTATTCCTAATTATTCGGCACTCACCAGTCCGCTGACTGATCTCACTAAATAAGGAACCACCAGAACCAGTCCAGTGGACAGAGCTGTGCCAACAGGCCCTAACCAAAGTAAAGGCTGCCCTGTGTGGCGGCCCACTCTTACACTCTCCTAACTTAGATCTCCATTTTTTGTTGCTGACAGACGCGTCGGACATGGGGCTGGGGTGCAGTCCTGTCGCAGGTGGTCGGAGGAGCGGCCAGTGCTGAATCTGAGTCGAAAGCTCTCAAACAGAGAGACCAGATACAGTACCATTGAAAAAGAGCGTTTGGCCGTCCTCACCATCCGTTATTACCTCCTGGGATGGGAATCTCTGTTCGGACCATTCGCACCTCTAGTGGCTCCACCGTATGAAGGACTCCAACACGTGGATCACCCGTAAGCATTTAGCTTTACAGCCATTTAAGTTCAAGGTGGTTCACCGGTGGAAGGCGTAGATGGCTGTAGGCGACTTGCTCTCTAGAAATGCCCCCCATTGGGGGGGGGTTGCAGGCCGAATGGCTTTGAAAAGAAGACGTGTAACAGTTTGTTGGATACGTGCAGCTCTTAAAGTGACAGCAGCCTAATATTGCTGCTGCTGTCTTTGTCTTCAATGTTAATGTAACAATGAAAGACAGCGAAAATCACTCACTGCTCTTGACTGGTTGAGCTTTGCTGAAGCAGCTCTAAATATTTACTGTACTATTAAATTAAAGTCAAAATATGATAGATCAATAATATGAACAGTGAAAGTAACAGCAGCTCCAACATACATAAGTATACATTTTTTAATAAATAATTATTTAGAGAAAAAGTTAAACATTTTAAGAACAATATTTTATTGTAAAATATTTTTTAACATAAATATAATAAATTACCAGTTTTCAAAAAATAATTCAATTTTAATAATTATAATATATTCATATTACAAATGTTATACTTATTTTTTACTAATATTACATTTCAAATATATTTTTTATATAAAAACATTTCATTATATTTAATTATATTGTATTATATTTCTATAATATTAGTTTTAACAAATATAAAAGTCACTATATATATATATAAAATATTCTATATTAAATATATATATTTATTTATATATTAAAGTAAATATAATAAACAATGCAGTAATATACAGTAGTCAACATTTGAAGTGGATAAAAACCTTTCATCAAAAGTTATACATGAATTTTGAACAATACCCGTTCTATACCATTTTGATTAACCTTATTGATCCACTTCAAATGTTGACTACTGTATATATTGTTTTGGAGATTTGTGCTGTTGTGGGGATTCTATTCACCATGATATAATGGTGATTTTTATATTTATATAAAAACTAATATTATAGAAATATGATGTAATATATATATATATATATATATATATATATATATATATGTATTTATATATATCAGCATTGAATTGTTATTATATTTATAGAAATACTCCACCCCCCCCCCCACTCCAAACCACACACACACACGCGCGCGCTTTCTCTCTCTCTCTCATACACATACACACACACACAGTATGATGTTTTTTGATATGATTAAGTCACCAGCTCAGACTCACTCGTGTCCATGAGCTCCACCTGTACGCCGACAGAGCATCTCTCTGCAGTGACTCTCAGTAGTTTAGTCTTCAGTCCCTGGATCTCCTGGTTCCTCCTCCGGATCTCCTGATGAAGAGCTGCAGCCTCTTCCTCCAGCAACTGACTGATCTCCACCGCGGCCGCCTTCATGATCGCGGAGATCTGCGTCTGGAACATCCCCGCGGAGCTCATCTCGCTATCAAAGCTCTCTGCAGTTACATTACTATGTAGAAAAACATAATCCACCATTGCTGCTTCTCTGGGTCCTGCTCATTCGGGGCGTGACGTGTTTCCGGTGAACTGTGGAGCTTTTAGGAAACGCTCGTCAAAATAAAAGACACGCGAGCAGATGCAGGGCCAAAATAGAGATTTGTTTGTGCGAAAAGGCGCAATGAACAGAGATACTACAGTCACATACACAGTCTTTCACCTCATTAATACTTTTCTTCAACAAGACAGACAAAAAACGTTACAGACGACTTACATTAAGACAAATCTGTAGCCTATATGATTTTCTCAATATTAAGTTTTATTTTATTTAAACGTAATTTATTTATATACACTTTGACATACTGTTGTACTGTAGTTTAAACATTTCTTATTCTTATTTCTTTATTAGTTATTGGACATGATACTGTCGTGCGAGCATCTCAACATTAAAGGATTTGTTCACCCAAAAAAATAAAATTCTGTCATTAATTACTCACCCGTATGTCGTTCCAGACCCGTAAGACTTTCGTTCATCTTCAAACACAAATGAAGATATTTTAAATGAAATCTAAGAGATTTCTGAGAGAGTCCATGAAACTGCTTAAGTTTAACGCACTTAGATGCTTTATAAAGTTCATAGAGATCGTAAAACTAATCCATATGAACTGAGTTGTTTAATCAAAATTTTATAAACATCAATGCACACATTGTAACGTCTGCCAGAGTTTGAAGACTGCCCAGATGAAGAATAGGAAAGACTGGTAGTTCCCCGAGTCTTTTATAGATGTTTCCTTTCAGTTAAGCACACTCTTCACATACATGTCAAAAAGCGAATGTTAACAGGGAAAAGAAAACACTCCGAAACACGCTACAAATAAAAGTGGAAGTAAACACATTGTAATAAAACAGCAGACAGCGATAGAGCGGTCACTGTGCGTACGCGCTCACATAAGAACAGCAGCATACAATAAGGTACGCCTTCGGCCCTGTCCCAAATGGAACCCTAAGCACTCGCGGTCTTCCTCTGAGTCCGCACTTTCGCGACGTAACGCCGCTTTGAATGTCGGGAAGAAGTCTGCTGTGGAGTCCGCATCAGCGCGGGCTCGGCAAAAGTGCGCATCAAGGCTCGCGAGCACCCTTCTGAGATCTAAAAATGACAAATGGGACACACTGCGGTCTCACGAAGTGTGCCATTTGGGATTGGGCCATAGAAGAAGTCATCTTAAAAGCATATCAACATTCATGTCATGAACACTACTTAACACTAGGTGGCTGTTACAACATCAGATATGGTAAAAGGAAGCTCAAGCATGTTGACTTGACGAGTGAGAACCAACGAGTTCAACAAGTAACAATGAGGTTCATTCTCGTGTTACGCAGCACGTTTGAGCTTCAGCAAGAACCAATGAGGATCTTTCTTGTGTTACGCAGCACGTTTGAGCTTCTGCAAGAACCAATGAGGATCTTTCTTGTGTTACGCAGCACGTTTGAGCTTCAGCAAGAACCAATGAGGTTCATTCTCGTGTTACGCAGCACGTTTGAGCTTCAGCAAGAACCAATGAGGTTCATTCTCGTGTTACGCAGCACGTTTGAGCTTCTGCAAGAACCAATGAGGATCTTTCTTGTGTTACGCAGCACGTTTGAGCTTCTGCAAGAACCAATGAGGATCTTTCTTGTGTTACGCAGCACGTTTGAGCTTCAGCAAGAACCAATGAGGATCATTCTCGAGTTACGCAGCACGTTTGAGCTTCAGCGAGAACCAATGAGGTTCATTCTCGTGTTACGCAGCACGTTTGAGCTTCAGCAAGAACCAATGAGGTTCATTCTCGTGTTACGCAGCACGTTTGAGCTTCAGCAAGAACCAATGAGGTTCATTCTCGTGTTACGCAGCACGTTTGAGCTTCAGCAAGAACCAATGAGGTTCATTCTCGTGTTACGCAGCACGTTTGAGCTTCAGCAAGAACCAATGAGGTTCATTCTCGTGTTACGCAGCACGTTTGAGCTTCAGCAAGAACCAATGAGGATCATTCTCGTGTTACGCAGCACGTTTGAGCTTCTGCAAGAACCAATGAGGATCATTCTCGTGTTACGCAGCACGTTTGAGCTTCAGCAAGAACCAATGAGGATCATTCTCGTGTTACGCAGCACGTTTGAGCTTCAGCAAGAACCAATGAGGTTCATTCTCGTGTTACGCAGCACGTTTGAGCTTCTGCAAGAACCAATGAGGTTCATTCTCGTGTTACGCAGCACGTTTGAGCTTCAGCAAGAACCAATGAGGATCATTCTCGTGTTACGCAGCACGTTTGAGCTTCAGCAAGAACCAATGAGGTTCATTCTCGTGTTACGCAGCACGTTTGAGCTTCTGCAAGAACCAATGAGGATCATTCTCGTGTTACGCAGCACGTTTGAGCTTCAGCAAGAACCAATGAGGTTCATTCTCGTGTTACGCAGCACGTTTGAGCTTCTGCAAGAACCAATGAGGTTCATTCTCGTGTTACGCAGCACGTTTGAGCTTCAGCAAGAACCAATGAGGTTCATTCTCGTGTTACGCAGCACGTTTGAGCTTCTGCAAGAACCAATGAGGTTCATTCTCGTGTTACGCAGCACGTTTGAGCTTCTGCAAGAACCAATGAGGATCATTCTCGTGTTACGCAGCACGTTTGAGCTTCAGCAAGAACCAATGAGGTTCATTCTCGTGTTACGCAGCACGTTTGAGCTTCAGCAAGAACCAATGAGGTTCATTCTCGTGTTACGCAGCACGTTTGAGCTTCAGCAAGAACCAATGAGGTTCATTCTCGTGTTACGCAGCACGTTTGAGCTTCTGCAAGAACCAATGAGGATCATTCTCGTGTTACGCAGCACGTTTGAGCTTCAGCAAGAACCAATGAGGTTCATTCTCGTGTTACGCAGCACGTTTGAGCTTCAGCAAGAACCAATGAGGTTCATTCTCGTGTTACGCAGCACGTTTGAGCTTCAGCAAGAACCAATGAGGATCATTCTCGTGTTACGCAGCACGTTTGAGCTTCGGCAAGAACCAATGAGGTTCATTCTCGTGTTACGCAGCACGTTTGAGCTTCAGCGAGAACCAATGAGGTTCATTCTCGTGTTACGCAGCACGTTTGAGCTTCAGCAAGAACCAATGAGGTTCATTCTCGTGTTACGCAGCACGTTTGAGCTTCTGCAAGAACCAATGAGGATCATTCTCGTGTTACGCAGCACGTTTGAGCTTCAGCAAGAACCAATGAGGTTCATTCTCGTGTTACGCAGCACGTTTGAGCTTCAGCAAGAACCAATGAGGTTCATTCTCGTGTTACGCAGCACGTTTGAGCTTCAGCAAGAACCAATGAGGTTCATTCTCGTGTTACGCAGCACGTTTGAGCTTCTGCAAGAACCAATGAGGATCATTCTCGTGTTACGCAGCACGTTTGAGCTTCAGCAAGAACCAATGAGGTTCATTCTCGTGTTACGCAGCACGTTTGAGCTTCAGCAAGAACCAATGAGGTTCATTCTCGTGTTACGCAGCACGTTTGAGCTTCAGCAAGAACCAATGAGGATCATTCTCGTGTTACGCAGCACGTTTGAGCTTCGGCAAGAACCAATGAGGTTCATTCTCGTGTTACGCAGCACGTTTGAGCTTCAGCGAGAACCAATGAGGTTCATTCTCGTGTTACGCAGCACGTTTGAGCTTCAGCAAGAACCAATGAGGTTCATTCTCGTGTTACGCAGCACGTTTGAGCTTCAGCAAGAACCAATGAGGTTCATTCTCGTGTTACGCAGCACGTTTGAGCTTCAGCAAGAACCAATGAGGTTCATTCTCGTGTTACGCAGCACGTTTGAGCTTCAGCAAGAACCAATGAGGATCATTCTCGTGTTACGCAGCACGTTTGAGCTTCAGCAAGAACCAATGAGGATCATTCTCGTGTTACGCAGCACGTTTGAGCTTCAGCAAGAACCAATGAGGATCATTCTCGTGTTACGCAGCACGTTTGAGCTTCAGCAAGAACCAATGAGGTTCATTCTCGTGTTACGCAGCACGTTTGAGCTTCAGCAAGAACCAATGAGGTTCATTCTCATGTCACGCAGCACGTTTGAGCTTCAGCAAGAACCAATGAGGATCATTCTCGTGTTACGCAGCACGTTTGAGCTTCAGCGAGAACCAATGAGGTTCATTCTCATGTCACGCAGCACGTTTGAGCTTCAGCAAGAACCAATGAGGATCATTCTCGTGTTACGCAGCACGTTTGAGCTTCAGCAAGAACCAATGAGGTTCATTCTCGTGTTACGCAGCACGTTTGAGCTTCAGCAAGAACCAATGAGGATCATTCTCGTGTTACGCAGCACGTTTGAGCTTCAGCAAGAACCAATGAGGATCATTCTCGTGTTACGCAGCACGTTTGAGCTTCAGCAAGAACCAATGAGGATCATTCTCGTGTTACGCAGCACGTTTGAGCTTCAGCAAGAACCAATGAGGTTCATTCTCGTGTTACGCAGCACGTTTGAGCTTCAGCAAGAACCAATGAGGTTCATTCTCATGTCACGCAGCACGTTTGAGCTTCAGCAAGAACCAATGAGGATCATTCTCGTGTTACGCAGCACGTTTGAGCTTCAGCAAGAACCAATGAGGTTCATTCTCGTGTTACGCAGCACGTTTGAGCTTCTGCAAGAACCAATGAGGATCTTTCTTGTGTTACGCAGCACGTTTGAGCTTCTGCAAGAACCAATGAGGATCTTTCTTGTGTTACGCAGCACGTTTGAGCTTCAGCAAGAACCAATGAGGATCATTCTCGTGTTACGCAGCACGTTTGAGCTTCAGCAAGAACCAATGAGGTTCATTCTCGTGTTACGCAGCACGTTTGAGCTTCAGCAAGAACCAATGAGGTTCATTCTCGTGTTACGCAGCACGTTTGAGCTTCTACAAGAATAGTTTTAATGAATAAGTCACCGACTCACTCAGTCACTTCTGCTTTGTCCCTGAATGAATCAGTCATTTTGAACGGATTGGTTGACTGAATGATTCAATGACTCACACGTTAAGTCAGTTTTAGTATCATTTAATTTTAGCCGAGGGACTGAGAGACGAAAATTGAATGCTGTTTTTGTTTTCGTTCATGATCATAACAATACAGTAGTTCTGGTTAAAGACTTATAATGTGTTTACAAATAGACAAATACAAATAGAGCGAAAGATGAGGTAACATTGCAAACATAACAGAAATGTTTACCTGGGAACTAGCCGAAATACTTTTTTTTAATAAAAAATATTTTATTTCAATTAAAGCTTCTTTCATTTCAAGTAACGAAAGTTGTTTTATGGTTTAGTTAACTATAATAACCTTGGGAATTGTTACAAACTTGTTCATCATGAAACAGTATTTTCATGGCAAGAGAGACGTTGCATAATAAATGTGTAAGATGTGTAAAAGAGGCCTGTAACACAGTTCGTTGTTATGGGAAGGAGGAGGCGGGAACCAGCGAACGTTTAACACACACTTTAATAATAAAAAAAACAAATACAAAACAAAAGATGGAGATGGCAGCCCCTCACGGACGACTGCCGCCACACATAATAAAACAAAAATATAAATCCAGGCCTGTCCTCTCTCTTCCTTCACTGTCGTTGCTCCTCCTTTTATGCTTCCGCTCCTCCATAAGAGATACGAGACCGATGCGTCGCGCAGGCAATCACGCCACTGGCCTCGAACCATTCTCTCCCGGCCCTCGGCCTCGTCCTGATCGCCACAAGGCCTTAATGACGATATGCAACAGAAGCTAATATCAACAGTTACAATTCTAAGAAATCTCACTTTGTGTGGTCGTGTCCCTGTTCATCATCTCTGTCCGCTGTGCAAGCGCATGTGTCTGAGACAGCTGTCCTGTCTGGAGAAGGTTTTACCGCACAGCTGACAGCGGAAGGGTTTCTCACCCGTGTGCACTAGTTTGTGTGTTAAAAGCCGCTTCCTCTGTGTGAAGCCTTTCCCGCACTCCTCACATCGGAAGGGTTTCTCACCCGTGTGCACTAGTCTGTGTGTTAAAAGCCGCTTCCTCTGTGTGAAGCCTTTCCCGCACTCTTCACATCGGAAGGGTTTTTCGTTCGTGTGCACTAGTTTGTGTGTTAATAGCCGCCCCCTCTGTGGGAAGCCTTTCCCACACTCCTCACATCGGAAGGGTTTGGGTCCTGTGTGCTTGCCGGCATTCAGACTCTTTGGGAGCGTTTTGGGCAAACACGAGCTTGAATGTGAGGATGGGAGTGTGTTGAACGGCGTCGAGTCAGACTCGCTCGTGCTGGGTGAGCTTCTATGGGAATCCTGAAGATTCAAGTCGTATTCAATGTCTGCAACACCAAAGCTCTCGTTCTGCAGAACAGCAAATAAACCAGACTGAGTCGACGCAGTAATCGAATCCTCCATCCCATATGGATCTGTAAAATTCTGGGAATGTTGTTCTGACTCCATACCACTTTCCAGATGGTCAAACACTTTCCCGGAACACCATAAACAAGTGTTTCCATCATGGCAGTGGTTTTGTCCTTTACACTTCTGCTTTGCCTCTACTCGACTCAGTGTCTGATCCACAAGTTCTTCCACCTGTTCGATCTTCATCTCAAACGCCAGTCCACTGAGCTTCTCTTCCTCCGGTTCCTTCAGCGGCGATATAGACTCTTCTTGTTTCAAAAGCTGTGAATTCAAATCCGCCGCATGTGAAAAGTGAGCTCTCTCCTCTGAGAGATTCTTCACAACAACCTTTTCCTGGCTGCGAGGATCAGTCTGAGCTTCCCGCGAATGAGCCGTTACACCTGTCGAGAAGTCATATGTCAATAAGACGTTTTAATTCAAATTCTACAACTAAACAAATAGTTCCTAGTCTAAAATCTATATGCATGTCAGTATTAGTTGAATTTCATGTTAATACATCAAGCTGTTACAATAACTAGGCTAATGAACCATATTACTTGATGCAAAAATAGTTTGATAATTATTAAAACTGAAATATTTTTTGAAAACTGGTGATGTTTATTGTTCGCAAACAGAGAACAGAATGGATATATCAGAGAAGGATGTTGTGGTGAGGGGGGCGTGGGAATGAGAAGTCTGCAGCGGGGGAATGAGTGTGAAGACGAGCGGGATAATGAGGTCAGGTACATGATAACCAACACCCGTCTCTAATTCCAGTGATTGGCGGAGAGGTGGGATATAAGTTCCCCACAGATCTGGGACAGGGAGAGAGAGACTCGTGCACTTTTGTGTTAGGACCGTTTATGTTGTGATTATACGAGGCAGTGTGCCGACAGTGTCCCGCTGGCGAAGATGGGTCCACAGGACCACCCAAAGGAGTTTGTGGACCTCTTTGAAATAAGAGGCATGTGGGTGGGCGCGCACCCAATGGCCGGTGCGCCTGATCCCACTGCTGTCCGGGGAGGCACAGGTGGCAGACCAACAGGTACCTGTAGTGAACCTCATGGCCTATGACAATCTAAAGTGGGTCATCCTTCAACAGGTTGGGTGCTTCCCTGAACAACATTGTCAGTGCTTCCTCTCAGTGGAGCTGGCCTTTTGTCATGGCCTAACAGCTCAGAGACACTTGCCGCACTGGAGCAGTTCATTGCTCGGCTTCCACGAGGAACGGCTGAGTAGGTCCAGGGCCACTGCCTGGCGTCACTGAATCTGGCCATCCAGCTGGCTGAGGATCATCTGGTGCCATGCCCCGGGGTCGGCATGCCCCTCCCTAATCTCTCTCTCTCAAACCCCTCTCAATCTCTTTCTGCTCTCTCTTGTCCTATTCCTTCTCCCAGGTAACGAAGTAACACGCCTACAGACGTTTTTTCCAAGGGGCTAGATCTGCAACACGAGGGGGCCTGCTGGAGATGTGGGGACCCGGGTCATTTCTAGGACTGGTGTCCAGTAATGGAGTTTGGAATGTTGATCCGGGTCCCCGATTCCCTGTGGGCTGTCCCCGATCAAGCTGGGCAGAACCAAATACCTGTGAGTATTAAGGGGGATACATGTGAGTCTTTGGTGGTGGTGTAACATGATATCCGGAAGCAGTGCCATTACGATTCCTTTCTGCAAATACTGTGGCGGACACGCCGTTTCACATTATCTCCCGAGTGGGAATCCCCAAAGAGATTCTCACTGATCAGGGCACAATGATGTGCACCAGCGTCGATCACCAGAAAAACAAACGGCTAGGTGGAACATTTAAATCACACTTTGTCCATGGTTCATAAAATCATAAAAGACGACGGCAAAAATTTGAATAAGTGGCTTGAGCCCCTGTTGTTCGCTGTGACTGGAGGTTCCACAAGCCTCTAATGGGTTTTACCCATTTAACCTTCTCTATGGCCGTCAGCCCTGTGGGGTGCTTGATGTCATTAAGGTAGGGACACACCAAATCAACGCCAAAGAACTAGCACTGATGAAAGCTGACTGTGTTGTCGCCTCGCGTTGGGGAAACAAATTTGTGCTTGATCACACTGAAAGGACTACTTCTGCGCTTGCGTGTAAAGGAGATAACTGTCTATTTAAGCAGATATATTCGCCAATCAAACAGGGAAAGTAAAACTAAGACTCCAGGTATACAAACCATAAACAAAGCAGTGCTTGCATACCGTTTTGAATATCAATCATGCAGATCACGTTCTTTATTCCACTCCACTCATGTTATTATGAAAATATCGGTAAAAGAATGCTCAGGTAATATCACGTAAAATTAGAACAGCATTTGCTCTGTGCCGTCATGACTTTTTTGCTTGCTTTCATCACTTTTGCTCTTATTCTCGTGCACTGACTTGTTTGCTAAACTGAACAGACAATCAGAGTTCTTTCTCTCACCAACGGCCCAACGCTGATTCTACATGTTGAATCAGCCAAAAAAAAAACTGACATCCGACTAGAATCAACGGTGCAAACAAACCCTAGAGCCATCGGTGTGGAACACACCGAAAAGTCGGCCGAGGCTCAAAAATGGCCCTACGCTGCCTGATGGCTTGGTGTACTTGGCTTTAAAGAGGCTTGGTAGGAGGGAACTTCAAACAGCCGTAGTGAAATTCAGTATGTCATGGACCTCTGAGCAAAACTCCACACATTGGGCGGCTCTCCATGGAGAATTTGCTCCAGGCACTAGACAGACAAAGTCAGCTGTACAACAGGGATACGCAACAGCATCAATTTACAGCGGGAGTGCTTTTATTACTTCTAACATCCAGTTCCAAGTTGTTGGGCATGCCACTTCGCACTCGCGAAGTGGCAAGGAACTTTTGTGGTTGCACGGTGAGTTGGGGATCTCAATTATACAGACAGGAGGGATTCATGTCAAATTTATTTATATGTCATCTTTTAAAACGCTGGAATGAGGTGAGGTCGGTTGAGTTAGCAACAGCCGTTCCGACAGAGGAAGATCTCGGACCAGCAGCAGCTGTCAAAACCAGTCCGCTCGCTTTGCTCCCGGGGGGAGATCATCTCTCGCCACTGCAGATCACTGATTTAGCAAAGTTGCAAGCAGATTTTGCAGATGTTTTCACCCCTGCCTGGTCGCACAGACCTCATACAGCACCGTATCGAAACAGTCCCCGGGGAAGTGGCACACAGCCATCCCTATCGTTTACCTGAACACAGGCCATGCTAGAGTTTAGAGTAATAGAAGAATCGCATAGCGACTGGGCGAGCCAGACAGTTTTAGTACCCAAACGGACGGCTCTGTCCGTTTCTGTGTCAAAATTCGACGCTTATCCAATGCCCTGTGTTGATGAGCTGCTTTATCGGTTAGGTTCGGTTTGCTTTTACTCGACACTGGATTTGACAAAAGGGTACTGGCAGATACCCTTATCGCCATTACCAAAAAGAAAAATAGCCTTCACAGCGCCATTCGGATTACACCAATTTATTCCTCTTCCGTTCGGGTTGTTCGGGGCTCCCACCACCTTTCACCGTCTCATGGACAAAATCCTCCCGCCTCATTCTGCGGATGCCACTGCCTACCTTGACAACATTATCATATAAAGTCATGATTGGCATCTGGAACATCTACTCGCTATCCTCAGATAGCTGGACTCACAGCGAACCAGCGGAAGTGTGCAATTGGGCGTGTGAAGGTGTGGAGCACAGTATATGGGCTTTCACTTGGGACATGGGCAGGTGCTTCCCCAAATTGATAAGACGATAATTGATAAAACTGCATAAGTCCCAAAACCAAAAAGGAGGTGAGACAGTTACTGGGGCTGGTGGGATATTATAGGAGATATTTATTCCTTATTATTATTCACCAGCCCGCTGACTGATCTCACTAAATAAGGACCAGAACCAGTCCAGTGGACAGAGCTGTGCCAACAGGCCCAAGGTAAAGGTTGCTCTGTCAGCGGTGGGCCAGTGCTGAATCTGAGTCGAAAGCTCTCAAACAGAGATACAAGATACAGCATCATTGGAAAAGAGCGTTTGGTCGTCCTCACCCTCCGTTATTACCTCCTGGGATGGGAATCTCTGTTCGGACCATTCGCCCCTCTAGTGGCTCCACCGTATGAAGGACTCCAACACGTGGATCACCCGTAAGCATTTAGCTTTACAGCCATTTAAGTTCAAGGTAGTCCACATGTCGGAGGCGTAGATGGCTGTAGGCGACTTGCTCTCTAGAAATGGATGGGGGGTGGTCGAGTGGTGGACGTTGTGGCGAGGGGGGCGTGGGAATGAGAAGTCTGCAGCGGGAGAACGAGTGTGGAGACGAGCGGGATAAGGAGGTCAAGTGCATGATAACCAACACCCGTCTCTAATTCCAGTAATTGGCGGAGAGGTGGGATATAAGCTCCCCACAGACCTGGGACAGGGAGAGAGACACTCATGCACTGATTGTGTTTGGACTGTTTATGTTGTGATTATACGAGGCATTTTGCCGACAGAGTTTCTTTTTCTGGGAGTGTTTGCTCGCCACTCAGACTTCTTTGTCATTTCTATCTGTAGAGTTGTAAAAAGTACTGACTTTGGTACCAAGTTGGTACTGAAATTTTTTAAATGTGACGATACCAGCATTTCCCTCTAGCAATTTGAGCGCTGTTGAATGGATTCTTAAACGGCTCTGATTGGCCATTGTGTTGACGCGCTCAAAATATGTTTCTGATACTTTTTGACAACTCTATCTATCTGTGAACGTTCTACAGATGTCTTTGAAGTAAATATTTACGCCTGTATAGCTACTGTGCGCAAGCTGATAAGCGAAACACGGAGTGGATTGAGCGTGCAGCGGAACAGACGCGCGAGCTAGTCGAGCACACATGCCTTTTTCACAGACATCACTGGAAAGTTCGTAGTTCGATCGGATATGGCAATAGCAAAGAAAGTAAAATGAGGAGCATATTACGTTAACTGACGTTAAAGAGAGAGAGCGCATTTCTGTTGCATGTTATTGATTGCTGATCATTCACTCAGCACACATCAAATGATTTATGTATAACGAGTGGTTCCCTACATTATTACAGGAAGGCGTTACAGTTATCACATGACGTTTTCCCAGAGCATGCGTCCAGAAAGCTGACTCTCAGACAGTGCGCCAATGGCCTATTAAATCGAGTTCTCTTTCGTATCTTCTTGGGCTTAGACAGAAAAAAACAAATTATGTAAAAATGCCCGTATAGGCAATTATCCTTGTGAAACATAGTCGGTTATGTCTTAAGTGAACGTAAACAGTTGAAAAGAAAATCACATGTGTAACAGTTTGTTGGATACGTGCAGCTCTTAAAGTGAAAGCAGCCTAATATTCCTGTTGCTGTCTTTTTCTTTTGTTACATTAACATTGAAGACAGAGCTGGTTGAGCTTTGCTGGAGCAGCTCAAAATAGTCACTGTACTACTAAATTAAAGTCGAAATATGAATGATATGCAATGATATGAACAGTGAAAGTAACAGTAGCTCCTACAATACATACGTCTAAAAAAAAAGAAAAAAAAAGAAAAAGACATTATAATTTAGTTAAAAACTTAATAAATATATAATACATAAATATAATAAACATCACCAGTTTTCAATAATAAAATTTTTTTTTATACACATGCATTTTACAAATGTTATACTTATTATTTTTTACTAATATTACAGAAAAGTAACATATTTCAAATATTATTTTATACATTATTTCAATAATATTAATATATTGTATTATATTTCTATATTATCAGTTTTAACATAAATATAAAAGTCACCATATAAAACCATTCTATATTTATATATTAAAATAAATACAATAAAAAAATATGGTAATATACATTTATTAAAAAAACTAATATTATAGAAATATAATTAGTAAAAATACATGTTAGCATATAATTGTTTTAAATAAATGTATATATATATATATATATATATATATATATATATATATATATATATATATATATATATATATACACACCCCCACCAAACACATTCTCTCTCTCATACACACACACACACAGTATGATGTTTTTTGATATGATTAAGTCACCAGCTCAGACTCACTCGTGTCCATGAGCTCCACCTGTACGCCGACAGAGCATCTCTCTGCAGTGACTCTCAGTAGTTTAGTCTTCAGTCCCTGGATCTCCTGGTTCCTCCTCCGGATCTCCTGATGAAGAGCTGCAGCCTCTTCCTCCAGCAACTGACTGATCTCCACCGCGGCCGCCTTCATGATCGCGGAGATCTGCGTCTGGAACATCCCCGCGGAGCTCATCTCGCTATCAAAGCTCTCTGCAGTTACATTACTATGGAGAAAAACACAATCCACCATTGCTGCTTCTCTGTGTCCTGCTCATTCGGGCCGGGCGTGACGTGTTTCCGGTGAACTGTGGAGCTTTTAGGAAACGCTCGCCAAAATAAAAGACACGCGAGCAGATGCAGGGCCAAAATAGAGATTTGTTTGTGCGAAAAGGCGCAATGAACAGAGATACTACAGTCACATACACAGTCTTTCACCTCATTAATACTTTTCTTGAACAAGACAGACAGTTAAATGTGCAGTCAAAAATCTAAAGAAAAGACTTACATGAAACCATTTCTGTATATGATTTTCTCTATAGGCTATTAAGTTTTATTTTATTTATTTAAACGTCATTATTTATTTGTATTTATTTATATATTTCTTTAATACATTTTATATTATTTTTTAGTGAAAGATTTATTATTGGATATATTATTTATTCATTAGTTATTGGACAAACTGTCGTGCGAGCATCTCAACATTAAAGGATTTGTTCACCCAAAAAAAGAAAATTCTGTCATTAATTACTCACCCGCATGTCGTTCCAAACCCGTAAGACTTTCATTCATCTTCAAACACAAATGAAGATATTTCAAATGAAATCTGAGAGATTTCTGTCAGTCCCTTGACAGTCCATGTAACTACCACTTTAATGCTTCAAAAAATTCATAAAGAGATAAAACTAATCCATATGAACTGAGTGGTTTAATCCAAATTTTCTCAAGAGACTCGGTTGCTTTATATGATTTAGACGGAATTTAGCCTTTTATCCACATATAAACATTCATCTAAAATATCAGATATGGTAAAAGGACGCTCAAGCACGTGACGTGTGAGAACCAATGAGGTTCATTCTCGTGTTATGCAGTGCGTTTGAGCTTCAGGAAGAATCGTTTTAATAAATAAGTCAATGACGTACTCAGTCACTTCTGCTTTGTCCCAGAAAGAATCAGCCATTTTGAACGAATGGGTTGACTGAATGATTCAATGACTTATGAAATAAAGCTTCTTTCATTTCAAGTAAAGAAAGTTGTTTTATGGTTTAGTTAACTATAATATCCCTGGGGATTGTTACATACTTGATCATCAGGAAACATTGCAAAAAGGGAGATGTTGCAAAATTAATGTGTGAAACAGGCTTTAATGCAGAAATGCATCAGAAGCTAATATCAACACAGTAACAATTCTAAGAAATCTCACTTTGAGGCATATGAAAAACTTTGTGTGTGGTCCTGTCCACGTTCATCATCTCTGTATGGGGATGTGTGGACTGACTGAATATGTAAGTAAGAAGACACAACAGAGGTTGTATTTTATAAATAAATTGCTGTCTTTTAATGCAGTCTGTGTTCCCCGATGCATGAAAAACAGGTCCAAACTATCTTTTATCCCCCAAGCAATTCGATTTTTAAATTCTTCTCCCAGTGTTGATTGATGGTCAGCTGGTCTGTTTATCCTAAATAAGATTTATTTGCTTTAAATTATTGTTTGTATATGCCAACTGTGATTTGTTTTAAATGTCTGTGTGAGCTTGCTTCAAACTACTTTCCCTACGGGGAAAAATAAACACTACTACTACTATTGTCGCTGTGCAAGCGCATGTGTCTGAGACAGTTGTCCTGTCTGGAGAAGGTTTTACCGCATAGCTGACAGCAGAAGGGTTTCTCACCCGTGTGCACTAGTCTGTGTGTTAAAAGACGCTTCCTCTGTGTGAAGCTTTTGCCACACTCCTCACATCTGAAGGGTTTTTCGTCCATGTGCACTAGTTTGTGTGTTAATAGCCGCCCCTTCTGTGGGAAGCCTTTCCCACACTCCTCACATCGGAAGGGTTTGGGTCCTGTGTGCTTGCCGGCATTCAGACTCTGTGGGAGCGTTTTGGGCAAACACGAGCTTGAATGTGAGGATGGGAGTGTGTTGAACGGCGTCGATTCAGACTCGCTCGTGCTGGGTGAGCTTCTATGGGAATCCTGAAGATTCAAGTCATACTCAATGTCTGCAACACCAAAGCTCTCATTCTGCAGAACAGCCAATAAACCGGACTGAGTTGACGTGGTCGTCGGATCCTCCATCCCATATGGATCTGTAAAACTCTGGGAATGTTGTTCCAACTCCACAAGATTTTCTGGATGGTCGAACGCTTTCCCGGAACACCATAAGCGAGTGTTTCGGTCATGGCAGTGGTTTTGTTCTTTACACTTCTGCTTTGCCTGAACTTGATTCAGTGTCTGATCCACAAGTTTTTCCACCTGTTCGATCTTCATCTCAAACTCCAGTCCGCTGAGCTCCTCTTCCTCGGGTTCCTTCAGCGGCGTTACAGACTCTTCTTGTTTCAAAAGCTGTGAATTCACATCCGCCGCATGTGAAAAGTGAGCTCTCTCCTCTGAGAGATTCTTCACAACAATCTTTTCCTGGCTGCGAGGATCAGTCTGAGCTTCCCGCGAATGAGCCGTTACACCTGTCGAGAAATACAAGTCATAAGTCTTTAAGATATTTTTAATTTAAATTCTCCAAAAAAAAATTGTTCTTGGTGTAAAATCTACATAGCTGCTACAAATCATTAGGCTAATGAACCATGATAATATTTAATACATTTACTTTTAATATAATGTATATATATACAAACACACACACTGTATGATGTTATTTGATATTATTAAAGGGATAGCTCATCGAAAAATTTAAATTCTGTCATTGATTACTCACCCTCATGTCGTTCCAAACCCGTAAGACTTTCATTCATCTTTGGAACAAAAATTAGGATATTTTTAATGAAATCTGAGAGATTTCTTTCCCTCCTTGACAGTCTACGGAACTACCATTTTGACGCTTCGAAAAGTTAATAAAGAAATCGTAAAACAAATCCATATGAACTGAGCAGTTTAGTCCAAATTTTCTAAAGAGACTCGATGGCTTTATATGAAGAACAGACTTAAACTAGGCTTTTTATCACATATAAACATTGATCAGCGAACATAAAGAGAAGCTACAATGAAAGGGCTTGAAGCGTGAGAACAAACCTCTAGCTGAAGCTCAAACGTGCTGCGTAACACAAGAATGAACCTCATTGGTTCTTGCTGAAGCTCAAACGTGCTGCGTAACACAAGAATGAACCTCATTGGTTCTTGCTGAAGCTCAAACGTGCTGCGTAACACAAGAATGAACCTCATTGGTTCTTGCTGAAGCTCAAACGTGCTGCGTAACACGAGAATGAACCTCATTGGTTCTTGCTGAAGCTCAAACGTGCTGCGTAACACAAGAATGAACCTCATTGGTTCTTGCTGAAGCTCAAACGTGCTGCGTAACACGAGAATGAACCTCATTGGTTCTTGCTGAAGCTCAAACGTGCTGCGTAACACGAGAATGAACCTCATTGGCTCTTGCTGAAGCTCAAACGTGCTGCGTAACAAAAGAATGAACCTCATTGGTTCTTGCTGAAGCTCAAACGTGCTGCGTAACACGAGAATGAACCTCATTGGCTCTTGCTGAAGCTCAAACGTGCTGCGTAACACGAGAATGAACCTCATTGGTTCTTGCTGAAGCTCAAACGTGCTGCGTAACAAAAGAATGAACCTCATTGGTTCTTGCTGAAGCTCAAACGTGCTGCGTAACACGAGAATGAACCTCATTGGCTCTTGCTGAAGCTCAAACGTGCTGCGTAACAAAAGAATGAACCTCATTGGTTCTTGCTGAAGCTCAAACGTGCTGCGTAACACGAGAATGAACCTCATTGGTTCTTGCTGAAGCTCAAACGTGCTGCGTAACAAAAGAATGAACCTCATTGGTTCTTGCTGAAGCTCAAACGTGCTGCGTAACAAAAGAATGAACCTCATTGGTTCTTGCTGAAGCTCAAACGTGCTGCGTAACAAAAGAATGAACCTCATTGGTTCTTGCTGAAGCTCAAACGTGCTGCGTAACACGAGAATGATCCTCATTGGCTCTTGCTGAAGCTCAAACGTGCTGCGTAACACGAGAATGAACCTCATTGGTTCTTGCTGAAGCTCAAACGTGCTGCGTAACACGAGAATGAACCTCATTGGTTCTTGCTGAAGCTCAAACGTGCTGCGTAACACGAGAATGATCCTCATTGGCTCTTGCTGAAGCTCAAACGTGCTGCGTAACACGAGAATGAACCTCATTGGTTCTTGCTGAAGCTCAAACGTGCTGCGTAACACGAGAATGAACCTCATTGGTTCTTGCTGAAGCTCAAACGTGCTGCGTAACACGAGAATGATCCTCATTGGCTCTTGCTGAAGCTCAAACGTGCTGCGTAACACGAGAATGAACCTCATTGGTTCTTGCTGAAGCTCAAACGTGCTGCGTAACACGAGAATGAACCTCATTGGTTCTTGCTGAAGCTCAAACGTGCTGCGTAACACGAGAATGATCCTCATTGGCTCTTGCTGAAGCTCAAACGTGCTGCGTAACACGAGAATGAACCTCATTGGTTCTTGCTGAAGCTCAAACGTGCTGCGTAACACGAGAATGAACCTCATTGGTTCTTGCTGAAGCTCAAACGTGCTGCGTAACACGAGAATGAACCTCATTGGTTCTTGCTGAAGCTCAAACGTGCTGCGTAACACGAGAATGAACCTCATTGGTTCTTGCTGAAGCTCAAACGTGCTGCGTAACACGAGAATGATCCTCATTGGTTCTTGCTGAAGCTCAAACGTGCTGCGTAACACGAGAATGAACCTCATTGGTTCTTGCTGAAGCTCAAACGTGCTGCGTAACACGAGAATGATCCTCATTGGTTCTTGCTGAAGCTCAAACGTGCTGCGTAACACGAGAATGAACCTCATTGGTTCTTGCTGAAGCTCAAACGTGCTGCGTAACACAAGAATGATCCTCATTGGTTCTTGCTGAAGCTCAAACGTGCTGCGTAACACGAGAATGATCCTCATTGGTTCTTGCTGAAGCTCAAACGTGCTGCGTAACACGAGAATGATCCTCATTGGCTCTTGCTGAAGCTCAAACGTGCTGCGTAACACGAGAATGAACCTCATTGGTTCTTGCAGAAGCTCAAACGTGCTGCGTAACACGAGAATGAACCTCATTGGTTCTTGCTGAAGCTCAAACGTGCTGCGTAACACGAGAATGAACCTCATTGGCTCTTGCTGAAGCTCAAACGTGCTGCGTAACACGAGAATGAACCTCATTGGCTCTTGCTGAAGCTCAAACGTGCTGCGTAACATGAGAATGAACCTCATTGGTTCTTGCTGAAGCTCAAACGTGCTGCGTAACACGAGAATGAACCTCATTGGTTCTTGCTGAAGCTCAAACGTGCTGCGTAACACGAGAATGAACCTCATTGGTTCTTGCTGAAGCTCAAACGTGCTGCGTAACACGAGAATGAACCTCATTGGTTCTTGCTGAAGCTCAAACGTGCTGCGTAACACGAGAATGAACCTCATTGGTTCTTGCTGAAGCTCAAACGTGCTGCGTAACACGAGAATGATCCTCATTGGTTCTTGCTGAAGCTCAAACGTGCTGCGTAACACGAGAATGATCCTCATTGGTTCTTGCTGAAGCTCAAACGTGCTGCGTAACACGAGAATGATCCTCATTGGTTCTTGCTGAAGCTCAAACGTGCTGCGTAACACGAGAATGAACCTCATTGGTTCTTGCTGAAGCTCAAACGTGCTGCGTAACACGAGAATGATCCTCATTGGTTCTTGCTGAAGCTCAAACGTGCTGCGTAACACGAGAATGATCCTCATTGGTTCTTGCTGAAGCTCAAACGTGCTGCGTAACACGAGAATGATCCTCATTGGTTCTTGCTGAAGCTCAAACGTGCTGCGTAACACGAGAATGATCCTCATTGGTTCTTGCTGAAGCTCAAACGTGCTGCGTAACACGAGAATGATCCTCATTGGTTCTTGCTGAAGCTCAAACGTGCTGCGTAACACGAGAATGAACCTCATTGGTTCTTGCTGAAGCTCAAACGTGCTGCGTAACACGAGAATGAACCTCATTGGTTCTTGCTGAAGCTCAAACGTGCTGCGTAACACAAGAATGAACCTCATTGGTTCTTGCTGAAGCTCAAACGTGCTGCGTAACACGAGAATGAACCTCATTGGTTCTTGCTGAAGCTCAAACGTGCTGCGTAACACGAGAATGATCCTCATTGGTTCTTGCTGAAGCTCAAACGTGCTGCGTAACACGAGAATGATCCTCATTGGTTCTTGCTGAAGCTCAAACGTGCTGCGTAACACGAGAATGATCCTCATTGGCTCTTGCTGAAGCTCAAACGTGCTGCGTAACACGAGAATGAACCTCATTGGTTCTCGCTGAAGCTCAAACGTGCTGCGTAACACGAGAATGATCCTCATTGGTTCTCGCTGAAGCTCAAACGTGCTGCGTAACACGAGAATGATCCTCATTGGTTCTTGCAGAAGCTCAAACGTGCTGCGTAACACGAGAATGATCCTCATTGGCTCTTGCAGAAGCTCAAACGTGCTGCGTAACACGAGAATGATCCTCATTGGTTCTTGCAGAAGCTCAAACGTGCTGCGTAACACGAGAATGATCCTCATTGGCTCTTGCTGAAGCTCAAACGTGCTGCGTAACACGAGAATGAACCTCATTGGTTCTCGCTGAAGCTCAAACGTGCTGCGTAACACGAGAATGATCCTCATTGGTTCTCGCTGAAGCTCAAACGTGCTGCGTAACACGAGAATGAACCTCATTGGTTCTTGCTGAAGCTCAAACGTGCTGCGTAACACGAGAATGAACCTCATTGGTTCTCGCTGAAGCTCAAACGTGCTGCGTAACACGAGAATGAACCTCATTGGTTCTTGCTGAAGCTCAAACGTGCTGCGTAACACGAGAATGAACCTCATTGGTTCTTGCTGAAGCTCAAACGTGCTGCGTAACACGAGAATGAACCTCATTGGTTCTTGCTGAAGCTCAAACGTGCTGCGTAACACGAGAATGAACCTCATTGGTTCTTGCTGAAGCTCAAACGTGCTGCGTAACACGAGAATGATCCTCATTGGTTCTTGCTGAAGCTCAAACGTGCTGCGTAACACGAGAATGAACCTCATTGGTTCTTGCTGAAGCTCAAACGTGCTGCGTAACACGAGAATGAACCTCATTGGTTCTGGCTGAAGCTCAAACGTGCTGCGTAACACGAGAATGAACCTCATTGGCTCTTGCTGAAGCTCAAACGTGCTGCGTAACACGAGAATGAACCTCATTGGCTCTTGCTGAAGCTCAAACGTGCTGCGTAACACGAGAATGAACCTCATTGGCTCTTGCTGAAGCTCAAACGTGCTGCGTAACACGAGAATGAACCTCATTGGTTCTGGCTGAAGCTCAAACGTGCTGCGTAACACGAGAATGAACCTCATTGGCTCTTGCTGAAGCTCAAACGTGCTGCGTAACACGAGAATGAACCTCATTGGTTCTGGCTGAAGCTCAAACGTGCTGCGTAACACGAGAATGAACCTCATTGGTTCTCGCTGAAGCTCAAACGTGCTGCGTAACACGAGAATGATCCTCATTGGTTCTTGCTGAAGCTCAAACGTGCTGCGTAACACGAGAATGATCCTCATTGGTTCTTGCTGAAGCTCAAACGTGCTGCGTAACACGAGAATGAACCTCATTGGTTCTGGCTGAAGCTCAAACGTGCTGCGTAACACGAGAATGAACCTCATTGGTTCTTGCAGAAGCTCAAACGTGCTGCGTAACACGAGAATGATCCTCATTGGTTCTTGCTGAAGCTCAAACGTGCTGCGTAACACGAGAATGAACCTCATTGGTTCTCGCTGAAGCTCAAACGTGCTGCGTAACACGAGAATGAACCTCATTGGTTCTCGCTGAAGCTCAAACGTGCTGCGTAACACGAGAATGAACCTCATTGGTTCTCGCTGAAGCTCAAACGTGCTGCGTAACACGAGAATGGAACTGTTGACTTAAAGAGATAGTTCAGCCAAAAATTACAATTCTGGCATCATTTACTCGCTCTCATGTCTTTCAAAACCGTAAGACTTTCGTTCATCTTCAAACACAAATTAAGATTTTTTTTATGAAATCTGAGAGATTTCTGTCCCTCCATTGACAGTCTACGCAACTATCACTTTGAGGCTTCAAAACGTTTATAAAGAGATAAACCTAATCCCTATGAACTGAGTGGTTTAGTCCAAACGACTTGATAACTTCATATGATTGAATTTAGGCTTTTATTCACAATATAAACATTCATCACTTGACGAGAACCAATGAGGTTCATTCTCGTGTTACTCAGCACGTTTGAGCTTCAGCAAGAACCAATGAGGATCATTCTCGTGTTACTCAGCAAGAACCAATGAGGATCATTCTCGTGTTACGCAGCACGTTTGAGCTTCTCAAGAACCAATGAGGTTCATTCTGGTGTTACGCAGCAGGTATGGTTGAGTTTCTATTTATGTTCCCTGATCAGTGTTTATATGTGAATAACAGCCTAAATTCAATCTGTTCATCATATAAAGCAATCAAGTGTCTTCAGAAAATTATATTTATGAAACGCCAAAATTGTGTAGAGTTGACTGTCAATGGAGGGACAGATATCTCTCAGATTTCATAAAAAGATCTTCATTTGTGTTTCGAAGATGAACAAAAGTCTTACAATTTTGGAAAGACATGAGGGTGAGTAATTAATGAAACGTTTTTTATGTTTTGTTTTTTGGGGGAGGGGGGTGAGCTAACCCTTTAAGTTATTTTATGTATTTAAATTATTTTCTCCTCTAACACTTATTTGAGACCCTTATTGTTGTGATCTGTGACATTATCTGACTCCTGCATCCACATGAAGTCTCTAGAACAAACAAACAACACAGAAACAAACACACACATATTCATGCAATACATAGTGTAAACTAAATTGCCCAGAAAGACATGACAGCAACGATTTTACATCAGAAAGTCATGGGTTTTATTGTCATTTGCAAAATGCATCTTATCAATGCTCCCATTTTAAATAATTCACACACACACAAAGTAGCAGAAAACAACATAGAAGACATATAGCATAGTTTTACTGGCTTTAAAATGAAAAATGTAATTCATGTATATAAATGAAATGCATTTTATATGACAGTTGATGTTTATAAAATAGATGTTAAAGTGATCTGTTGAACAAATACTGAAAAAAAGTATATCAAACTTAAAGCAATATTACTAATTTATCATAAAAAACTTCTATAAAGTATGTCAAAACAAGTCAAATTTAAAATAATGTGGCATTTCATAAAATCTTGTCAGCATGGATCTGTGACTGTGAATGCTACCAATACGCATACGCCTCCTCTTCAGTGTGGCTGCGCTGGTGCAGTTTTAGCGAGTTTAAATGCGAGTAGGACTTGCCGCATTCTTCACAACTGTACGGTTTCTCTCCGGTGTGTGAGCGCTGGTGTGAGATCAGGTGAGAGTTGCAGTAAAAGCCTTTGCCACACTGAGGGCAGGTGTACGGTCTCTCTCCGGTGTGGATTCTTTGGTGGATCTTCAGGTAGAAGCGCGTAGTGAAGGTCTTTCCGCACTGAGGGCAGCGAGAGCTTCTCTCTGCGTTTGTGTCTCCTCTGTGATCTGACGCTGATGGAAGCGCATGGTTAGCGGCAGCGGTTCTGTACGGTTCGTCCACGTGCCGGCGGTTCGGAGACACACCTGTGGCGAATCGCTCACCTGTTTCCAGAAGAGAAGCGTCCAAACTCACGGCTCCGGAGTTCGCTGGATATTCCTGGGACACCGGTGAATTCCACATTCCACCGGGCTTCATTTTACTCGTTAAGATAAAATCACTACCTACAGATTGACCAACAAAGAACAGAGTTCATAATTCAGAGAGGCCCATAATTCTAAAGATTGGTTAGTTGAACTAGTCCTGATATGAAGTGATCTCTGACCAACTCTAGCTGGTCCTGTTGTTCCCGTGCCGAAACTATCCTGGTCTTCCACCTCTGGACCCAACGGGGAAAGAGCAGGAGAAACTAGAGATGAAATCAATCAACCAAATAAGCATAAAATGATTGAGAATGTATAGAAGAATATCATATTTTGGCATCTGATATAAAACAGAAAAGCACTATCATAATTCTTAGTGTGTTTTACTCGGTCCACTGTCCCACTGTTCGTCCTCCATGTGTTCCTCTTTGATCTGAATTGGTTTGATTCCGTCTTCCTGCAGTTTAGAACGACAAAGAATCAGGTTACTCTATGACGTATACTGAAGAAGAATCTAATAATGAAGATCCTTACGTTCAGTGTGAACGTCTGGGCTGAAGAAACGTCCGTGTGTGTCTCCGTCTGTGATTCTCCGTCATGATTTTCATTTATCTTTACGCAGTTGAGGTTTACCTCTGGTGAGAAATGTTTTTTGAAAAAGGATGAAACGCGACATATACATGCATTGTTAAAGGTGCAGTAAGCAATTTCTGAGAAATGCTGTTGATGTTTAAAACCACCAAAACAAACGCCTCTACTCCTCTTGATTGCTCCCCCCCCAAAGTCACAATCACCTCCCCCATCATAAGTGGACACGCCCCTTATTGCTGACTGGCTACAAGTGTGTTGTGGCGCTCGGTCGGATCCTCTTTTAACAGTGTTTCTCAGAAATCTCTTACTGCACTCATTTATTCACCCTCATGTCATTCCAAATCCATTGGACCCTATACCGACTAAGCTACTGAAAGAGATGCTTCTAGAGTTCATAAATCCTCTTCTTGATATCATTAATTAATCTTTGACTTTAGGATACCTACCGAAAAATAAAAAGCTGGCTATTATTAAACCTCTTATTAAAAAAACACAACTTTTTAGTCAATTAAAGGCCGATCTCAAATCTACCCTTTCTGTCACAGATACTAGAAATCGAATTATCCTCACAACTATGTTCCTTTTTAGAAAGAAATGGTATATGCAAGGATTTCCAGTCAGGATTTATTATCATGCATTCATCTTATCATGTACTGAGACGGCTCTCATTAGTCACAAATTATTTTCTCTTATCATCCGATCGTGGTTGTATCTCTCTATTAGTGTTACTCGATCTTAGTGCTGCATTTGATACTATTAACCACAACATTCTTTTAAATAGACTCGAAAATTATAATGGCATTAGTGGAATTGCATTGGCATGGTTTAAATCATCCTTATCTGACCGTTACCAGTTTGTAGCAGTAAATGAAGAGATGTCTTATCGATCACAAGTTCAGTATGGCGTACCACAAGGCTCAGTACTAGGACCGCTGCTGTTCACTCTGTACATGCTACACACACAAACACACACACACACACACACACACACACACACACACACACACACTCTGTACATGCTACCCTTGGGAGATATCATTAGGAAGCATGGCTTTAGTTTTCACTGTTATGCCGATGATACTCAGCTCTATATTTCTTTGCGCCCCGGCAAAACTTACCAATTCACAAAATTAACAGAATGCATAGCTGATATACAAAATTGGATGACTGGTCATTTCCTACAACTTAATTCTGAAAAAACAGAGATTCTAATTATTGGACAAAAAACTTCCTCACGTACTAACCTAGAATACTGTCTAACAATTGATGGCTGCTCTGTCAAGTCTTCGTCCTCAGTTAGGAAACAAGGATGTGCTCTTTGATACCAATCTTTCATTTGAAAGCCACGTTTCTACCATCTGTAAAACCGCATTCCTCCATCTTAAAAATATATCTAAATTACGACATATGCTCTCAATGACAAATGCGGAACAGTTAGGTCATGCGTTCATGACCTCAAGGCTGGATTACTGTAATGCTCTACTGGGTGGTTGCCCTGCATGCTTAATAAACAAACTCCAGCTGGTCCAAAATGCAGCAGCTCGAGTTCTCACTAGAACCAGGAAGTATGACCATATTAGCCCGGTTCTGTCAACACTGCATTGGCTCCCTATTAAACATTGTATACATATTAAAATATTACCGATTACTTACAAAGCACTAAATGGTTTAGCTCCTCAGTACGTGAGCGAGCTCTAAACGCATTATAGTCCTTCACGTCTATTGCGATCTCAAAATTCTGTCCAGTTGATAATACCTAGATTATCAAAATCAACAGCAGGCAGTTGATCCTTTTCCTATTTAACACGTAAACTTTGGAATAGTCTTCCTAGTATTGTTCGGGAAGCAGACACACTGTCAGTTTAAATCTAGACTAAAAAAAAATCTCTTTAACCTAGCACATAGAACATTATAAATTTATATTATTCAAATCAGTTACATGATTGTTAGGCTGCATAAACTAGGTCAGCCAGAACCGGGAAAACTTCCCATAACACCTGATGTACTCGTTTCATCATAAGAAGAATGGCATCTAGACACGATCACAACGCATGATGTAGTCAGCCGGATCCGGGCCGTATCAAGATCGAATGGAGGACCTGCACCTAGACACGACCACAACGCATGATGTAGTCAGCCGGATCCGGGCCGTATCCAGATCGGATGGAGGACCTGTGCCTAGACACGACCACAACGCATGATGTAGTAAGCTGGATCCGGACCGTATCCAGATCGGATGGAGGACCTGTGCCTAGACACGACCACAACGCATGATGTAGTCGGCTGGATCCAGACCGTATCCAGATCGGATGGAGGACCTGTGACTAGACACGACCACAACGCATGATGTAGACAGCTGGATCCGGACCGTATCCAGATCGGATGGAGGACCTGTGACTAGACACGACCACAATGCATGATGTAGTCGGCTGGATCTGGGCCGTATCCAGATCGGATGGAGGACCTGTGCCTAGACACGACCACAACGCATGATGTAGTCAGCTGGATCCGGACCGTATCCAGATCGGATGGAGGACCTGTGACTAGACACGACCACAATGCATGATGCAGTCGGCTGGATCCGGACCGTATCCAGATCGGATGGAGGACCTGTGACTAGACACGACCACAACGCATGATGTAGTCAGCTGGATCCGGACCGTATCCAGATCGGATGGAGGACCTGTGACTAGACACGACCACAATGCACGATGTAGTCGGCTGGATCCGGACCGTATCCAGATCAGATGGAGGACCTGTGACTAGACACGACCACAATGCATGATGTAGTCGGCTGGATCTGGGCCGTATCCAGATCGGATGGAGGACCTGTGCCTAGACACGACCACAACACATGATGTAGTCAGCTGGATCCGGACCGTATCCAGATCGGATGGAGGACCTGTGACTAGACACGACCACAATGCATGATGTAGTCGGCTGGATCCGGACCGTATCCAGATCGGATGGAGGACCTGTGACTAGACACGACCACAATGCATGATGTAGTCAGCTGGATCCGGACCGTATCCAGATCGGATGGAGGACCTGTGACTAGACACGACCACAATGCATGATGTGGTCAGCTGGATCCGGACCGTCTCCAGATCGGATGGAGGACCTGTGACTAGACACGACCACAATGCATGATGTAGTCGGCTGGATCCGGACCGTATCCAGATCGGCTGGAGGACCTGTGACTAGACACGACCACAATGCATGATGTAGTCGGCTGGATCCGGACCGTATCCAGATCGGATGGAGGACCTGTGACTAGACACGACCACAATGCATGATGTAGTCAGCTGGATCCGGACCGTATCCAGATCGGATGGAGGACCTGTGACTAGACACGACCACAATGCATGATGTAGTCGGCTGGATCCGGACCGTATCCAGATCGGATGGAGGACCTGTGACTAGACACGACCACAATGCATGATGTAGTCGGCTGGATCCGGACCGTATCAAGATCGGATGGAGGACCTGCGCCTAGACACGACCACAACGCATGATGTAGTCAGCCGGATCCGGACCGTATCCAGATCGGATGGAGGACCTGTGCCTAGACACGACCACAACGCATGATGTAGTCAGCCGGATCCGGACCGTATCCAGATTGGATGGAGGACCTGTGCCTAGACACGACCACAATGCATGATGTAGTCGGCTGGATCCGGACCGTATCCAGATCGGCTGGAGGACCTGTGACTAGACACGACCACAATGCATGATGTAGTCGGCTGGATCCGGACCGTATCCAGATCGGATGGAGGACCTGTGACTAGACACGACCACAATGCATGATGTAGTCGGCTGGATCCGGACCGTATCAAGATCGGATGGAGGACCTGCGCCTAGACACGACCACAACGCATGATGTAGTCAGCTGGATCTGGGCCGTATCCAGATCGGATGGAGGACCTGTGACTAGACACGACCACAATGCATGATGTAGTCGGCTGGATCCGGACCGTATCAAGATCGGATGGAGGACTTGCGCCTAGACACGACCACAACGCATGATGTAGTCAGCCGGATCCGGACCGTATCCAGATCGGATGGAGGACCTGCGCCTAGACACGACCACAATGCATGATGTAGTCAGCCGGATCTGGGCCATATCCAGGTCAGATGGAGGATCTGCGCCTAGACACGACCACAATGCATGATGTAATCAGCCGGATCTGGGCCATATCCAGATCAGATGGATGACCTGCGCCTAGACACGACCACAATGCATGATGTAATCAGCTGGATCTGGGCCGTATCCAGATCAGATGGAGGACCTGCACCTAGACACGACCACAATGCATGATGTAATCAGCCGGATCTGGGCCGTATCCAGATCAGATGGAGGACCTGCACCTAGACACGACCACAATGCATGATGTAGTCAGCCGGATCTGGGCCGTATCCAGATCAGATGGAGGACCTGCACCTAGACACGACCACAATGCATGATGTAATCAGCCGGATCTGGGCCGTATCCAGATCAGATGGAGGACCTGCACCTAGACACGACCACAATGCATGATGTAGTCAGCCGGATCTGGGCCGTATCCAGATCAGATGGAGGACCTGCACCTAGACACGACCACAACGCATGATGTAGTCAGCCGGATCCGGACCGTATCCAGGTCAGATGGAGGATCTGCGCCTAGACACGACCACAATGCATGATGTAATCAGCCGGATCTGGGCCATATCCAGATCAGATGGATGACCTGCGCCTAGACACGACCACAATGCATGATGTAATCAGCTGGATCTGGGCCGTATCCAGATCAGATGGAGGACCTGCACCTAGACACGACCACAATGCATGATGTAATCAGCCGGATCTGGGCCGTATCCAGATCAGATGGAGGACCTGCACCTAGACACGACCACAATGCATGATGTAGTCAGCCGGATCTGGGCCGTATCCAGATCAGATGGAGGACCTGCACCTAGACACGACCACAATGCATGATGTAATCAGCCGGATCTGGGCCGTATCCAGATCAGATGGAGGACCTGCACCTAGACACGACCACAATGCATGATGTAGTCAGCCGGATCTGGGCCGTATCTAGATCAGATGGAAGACCTGCGCCTAGACACGACCACAATGCATGACGTAGTCAGCCGGATCTGGGCCGTATCCAGATCAGATGGAGGACCTGCACCTAGACACGACCACAATGCATGATGTAGTCAGCCGGATCTGGGCCGTATCCAGATCAGATGGAGGACCTGCACCTAGACACGACCACAATGCATGATGTAATCAGCCGGATCTGGGCCGTATCCAGATCAGATGGAGGACCTGCACCTAGACACGACCACAATGCATGATGTAGTCAGCCGGATCTGGGCCGTATCCAGATCAGATGGAGGACCTGCACCTAGACACGACCACAATGCATGATGTAGTCAGCCGGATCTGGGCCGTATCCAGATCAGATGGAGGACCTGCACCTAGACACGACCACAATGCATGATGTAATCAGCCGGATCTGGGCCGTATCCAGATCAGATGGAGGACCTGCACCTAGACACGACCACAATGCATGATGTAGTCAGCCGGATCTGGGCCGTATCTAGATCAGATGGAAGACCTGCGCCTAGACACGACCACAATGCATGATGTAGTCAGCCGGATCTGGGCCGTATCTAGATCAGATGGAAGACCTGCGCCTAGACACGACCACAATGCATGATGTAGTCAGCCGGATCCGGGCCATATCTAGATCAGATGGAGGACCTGCGCCTAGACACGACCACAATGCATGATGTAGTCAGCCGGATCCGGGCCATATCTAGATCAGATGGAGGACCTGCGCCTAGACACGACCACAGCGCATGACGTAGTCAGCCGGATCCGGGCCGTATCCAGATCAGATGGAGGACCTGTGCCTAGACACGACCACAATGCATGATGTAGTCAGCCGGATCCGGGCCATATCTAGATCAGATGGAAGACCTGCGCCTAGACACGACCACAATGCATGATGTAGTCAGCCGGATCCGGGCCACATCTAGATCAGATGGAGGACCTGTGCCTAGACACGACCACAATGCATGATGTAGTCAGCCGGATCCGGGCCATATCTAGATCAGATGGAGGACCTGTGCCTAGACACGACCACAGCGCATGACGTAGTCAGCCAGATCCGGGCCGTATTCAGATCAGATGGAGGACCTGCGCCTAGACACGACCACAATGCATGATGTAGTCAGCCGGATCCGGGCCATATCTAGATCAGATGGAGGACCTGCGCCTAGACACGACCACAGCGCATGACGTAGTCAGCCGGATCCGGGCCGTATCCAGATCAGATGGAGGACCTGCGCCTAGACACGACCACAATGCATGATGTAGTCAGCCGGATCCGGGCCATATGTAGATCAGATGGAGGACCTGCGCCTAGACACGACCACAACACATGATGTAGTCAGCCGGATCCGGGCCATATCTAGATCAGATGGAGGACCTGCGCCTAGACACGACCACAACACATGATGTAGTCAGCCGGATCCGGGCCGTATCCAGATCAGATGGAGGACCTGCGCCTAGACACGACCACAGAGCATGACGTAGTCAGCCGGATCCGGGCCATATCTAGATCAGATGGTGGACCTGCGCCTAGATATGACCACAACGCATGACGTAGTCAGCCGGATCCGGGCCATATCTAGATCAGATGGTGGACCTGCGCCTAGACACGACCACAACGCATGACGTAGTCAGCCGGATCCGGGCCGTATCCAGATCAGATGGAGGACCTGCGCCTAGACATGACCACAACGCATGACGTAGTCAGCCGGATCCGGGCCATATCTAGATCAGATGGAGGACCTGCGCCTAGACACGACCACAACGCATGACGTAGTCAGCCGGATCTGGGCCGTATCCAGATCAGATGGTGGACCTGCGCCTAGACACGACCACAACGCATGACGTAGTCAGCCGGATCTGGGCCGTATCCAGATCAGATGGAGGACCTGCGCCTAGACATGACCACAACGCATGACGTAGTCAGCCGGATCCGGGCCATATCTAGATCAGATGGTGGACCTGCGCCTAGACATGACCACAACGCATGACGTAGTCAGCCGGATCCGGGCCGTATCCAGATCAGATGGAGGACCTGCGCCTAGACGCGACCACAACGCATCCCTGAAGTGTCAGCAGGAATTGTGTCAACTAGACTCCCCACTGCGAAAGCCTCATCGACCCGGCAAAAGTTTTTTTTTCACAACAAAAGTTTTTTCCTCTGTACAGATAAAAAAGGTTTTCAAAATTACTCCCGTTCACACACATCCGCGTGTTTATTATTCATGCTGCATTAAAGAAATACAGGTTTGGAACGACATGAGGGCGAGTACATGATAGAAGAATGATCATTTTGTATAAAATATCCCTATAAGTGGTATTAACAACAGTACACAGCCATCTGATACCTATGTTTATATGTTGTATGATGTGTTTTTGCAAGGGTAATAAGCATTAATACTTAAAGTTAAAATGATTTAGAATTTGCAACCCATTTTACTTCGGTATTGTAACATAATACTGAATCAAAGCATATGGAATGAGAATGTGAAAATTAGATGATGAAAAGTGGATGTTATAGACCAGAATAGAGGCAGATCTGAATGCAGGTATAACTTTATCATAGATGAGTTTTAAAGGATACAATGATTGACCACAGGGGGACTTTAAAGTTATAAAAAAGTTATTCCAGTAACGTTAACAGAACGTTTGTTTAAAGTTAATTGGTCTTCAAGAATGTTCTCAAAACATTAACATAAATGCATTAAATACATTGTTACTGAAACGTTTTTATTTTATTTTAGTTGGATAATCATCTAACATTTTTTAAATTTTACAACTAATTTCAGAATGATCAGAGAACACTCAAAAGTAATGTTCCAATGTTAGCAAAATTATAAAATGGAACGGTCCTTTAACGTTCGCATAACCAATAAAAAACGGTTTTGAAAAACTGGTGGAACTCTACACCCTTGCCTCATTTAGTATACATGTTCTATATGTAAATTAGCCCTGCCTCCACTCACTCACAGCAGCTCAGAGATCACACGTTGACCTGATTGTTTTAAACCTTGATGGTTTTAAAAACCTGGACTTTTGAGAGCATTCAGAAAGAACATTTTCATAACTTAATTTTTTTTTGGTAGCTGGATTTTTTTCCGGGCACTTTTTGTTATGGTAGTAACGTCTTCGAAGTTGGTGGCGCACGAACGGTGTAAACTGACAGAACGTCTGTTTCTGTCAAAGGCAGAACTTTAGCGAAACCCATTTCGTGCTGCGTTCAATTCTGGAAGCATTCATGGGTGAAATGCCTCGAACACACGCGTGAATTCTACGTTATTCCTCCTTCTTCAAAGTGCAAGAACTCAAGCCAACGGGCTCGTAAACAGGGGATTAGGGGATTAGGGGATTTGGGGAATGGGGAACAGGGTCTTTAGAGGAAAACACCCGAAACGCATCTTTTCATTATCTCTGCTTGCTAGTGATGTGCACTGTAAAAAATGTTGTTGGTTTAATTTAAAAAAGTAAGTTAACCTGGTTGCCTTAGGCCATGTCCACACGGACAAGGCTATTTTTATAACCGGAGTTTTTCCTACAGCGTTTAAAAAAAAAATCCCGTCCACACATGCTCGGTCTCCGTCTACATGAAAACGTAAAAACACGCAATCAAGCGCGGTCAAGAGCATGCCACGCCAGCAGGCGGCGATATAAACCTTAACCCTAAAGCCACGTTGGCCAATCAGAAGCGCAAATCTCATGTCAAACACAGCAGATAACGGCGCACACTCTGACGTCGCAAGGCAAAAACCCCGGTTTCACTGTCTACACGACAACACTGTAACCGGCGTTTCTGAAAATCCTCACCCTGGCAGGGGTTTTCAAAAATGTTCGGCTTCAGTGCGTTTTTGTGTGGACGAACGGCCGAACCGCGTAAAATAAAGTCACGGTTTTAAAAATACCCGTGTCCGTGTGGACAGGGCCTCAAAATTCATTTAAATAAAAAATTTAAGTTAATACAATGAGGGAGATTGGTTTAATAAATAGAAAATCAAAATACTACGTTATCTGAACCACATTAACTATCAAAGTTGATTTGACAAAAGCTGTGATAAATCATGAAAATGACAGGTTGAAGGGGCGGAGTCAAAACTTAGGTCTCTAGCTACTGGCTCAACAGCCGCGAGGCCTTGCATACGTCACCGGTTAAAGGAAGGCGTTTCAGCGGAAGAATACATTATGATTAAAGAGTGAAAGGAGGAGAAGGCAGGGATGAGTCCCGCATCATGTCGAGTTTAAACAGTGCCATGTGTGACTGAAGTACCTCTCTGTCCGCTGGTGTTCACTTGTGTTCCCACTGAGCGCAGGTTCGACTGGTTCTTTCGGGCTGATCGCAGTTCGCTCTCGGTAAACTGCAGTTTGAGCATCAGCGTCTCGACCTCCATCTTCCGGCGCGTCATCTCCTGCTCCACCGCGCGACTCATCTCCAGCAGCGCGCATTTGGCGAAGCGCTCGAGGATCGACGCGAGCGTCGCGTGGATATCAGCCGACGCAGACATTAGAGCCGCTTAATGGCGAACAATACAAGGCTATTGTTTGTAAAGTGTTTTCAAAAGAGCCTCGCGTCCAATCTGGTGTTTTTTCTTTCTTTCAGCCGCACGCTGGGTTCGAGGATGCGGACAGTCGAGCATGTATCAATAGTGTTTACACAAATCTCACAAAACAGTTGACCGTTTTCCTGGTGGAGTGACGTCACCGTTTAAAAGACCAGTAGATTTCGCCCTGTCTTTTCACTACCGTAAATCCTAGTGTAGAAGCGCCGTTATAAATCATCAGGGAATCTTTCGATTTAAATCTCGCAAACGGGAAAAAAGGTCCCATTTCACAGACTGTGATGACGCGTTTTAACTGTCATCAGCATCGCAAATCCTGCAACTGTTTTTTTATATTTTCATTTTTTTTAAATGTACAATGTACATTTATTATAACACTATACTTTGTATTATGTATTATATTACCTTTGCTTCGAATTACAAAAAAACTAGTTAACGCTGATGTGAGGGAGCGACGGTAATAATTTCTCCCTCCGAACTGCCGTTATCAATCTCTCTCTATTTTTTTCTCATTTTTAAAGTTGTGAAAACACTTGTGAGTTTTTCTTTTGCTATCTGAATGAGCAAATTGGAACACACACATTTTATGTAGTCTCTCATTCACCGCTATAGAAGTTTAACTTTAACCAACTATGACGACGGCCGCTTCTGAGAAACCCGGTAATGGGTAAAAAAAAATTGTATGTACCCAAAAAAATAAAAAGCTGGTGTTCTGCATATTTTTGGCCATTTAATTTCCTATTTGAAAACGAATAACGGAATCAGCCGCAGCTGGCCCAAAAAAGTGCCAGAACTGCAACTGCTATATAATATTAATATATTGTAAAATATAACTGAAGAAGGTGGTGGAGAAAAACTACAGAAACTAAGAAAATGCAAAGTATAATCGGTTTTATTAATGCAGACAAAAATGCTGAAACCTTACCCAGGTATAGCACAAATAAAACACGATGTTAAAATGTGTCAGATGAACATAAGATAAAACTATAATAAATAGTAACAGTAGAATATATAATAAAATGTAAATTTAAAAGTTGTAGTGTATAAAGTTGCACAGATGACAAACTAATGAACAAATGTGGTAAATAAGTGACAAATGAAAAATAAAATTATACTTCTAGATGTGGAGATGCAAAGTGTAAAGAGTTTTATGGAAGCTTGTTTCCACCACAGAATAAAAAATCAAAAAGGTAATTGCGACTTTTAATCTCATAATTGTGTGAAAACACTCGCAATTCTGAGGAAAAGTCAGAATTGCAAGAATATATCTCGCAATTCTGACTTTGTATCACACAATTCTGACTTTATATCTCTCAATTCTGACTTTATATCTCTCAATTCTGACTTTATATCTCGCAATTCTGACTTTATATCACGCAATTCTGACTTTATATCACGCAATTCTGACTTTATATCTCGCAATTCTGACTTTATATCTCGCAATTCTGACTTTATATCACGCAATTCTGACTTTATATCTTGCAATTCTGACTTTATATCTCGCAATTCTGACTTTATATCACGCAATTCTGACTTTATATCTCGCAATTCTGACTTTATATCACGCAATTCTGACTTTATATCTCGCAATTCTGACTTTATATCACGCAATTCTGACTTAATATCTCGCAATTCTGACTTAATATCTCACAATTCTGACTTTATATCACGCAATTCTGACTTTATATCACGCAATTCTGACTTTATATCTGGCAATTCTGACTTAATATCTCGCAATTCTGACTTTATATCTCGCAATTCTGACTTTATATCTCGCAATTCTGACTTTATATCTCGCAATTCTGACTATATCACGCAATTCTGACTTTATATCTCGCAATTCTGACTTTATATCTCTCAATTCTGACTTTATATCTCGCAATTCTGACTTTATATCACGCAATTCTGACTTTATATCTCGCAATTCTGACTATATCACGCAATTCTGACTTTATATCACGCAATTCTGACTTTATATCTCGCAATTCTGACTTTATATCTCTCAATTCTGACTTTATATCACGCAATTCTGACTTTATATCACGCAATTCTGACTTTATATCACGCAATTCTGACTTTATATCTCGCAATTCTGACTTAATATCACGCAATTCTGACTTAATATCACGCAATTCTGACTTAATATCACGCAATTCTGACTTTATATCACGCAATTCTGACTTTATATCTCTCAATTCTGACTTTATATCACGCAATTCTGACTTTATATCACGCAATTCTGACTTTATATCACGCAATTCTGACTTAATATCTCCCAATTCTGACTTAATATCTCGCAATTCTGACTTAATATCACGCAATTCTGACTTTATATCACGCAATTCTGACTTAATATCACGCAATTCTGACTTTATATCTCTCAATTCTGACTTTATATCACGCAATTCTGACTTTATATCACGCAATTCTGACTTTATATCTCGCAATTCTGACTTTATATCTCGCAATTCTCTATTTTTCAGAATTGCGATATGTACTTGCAATTGTAAGATAAAGTCACATATATCTTTTAAAATGTTTAATTCTGTGGCAGAAACAAGCTTCCATAGAGTTTGGATGTACAATAAGACAATAAAACGAAGGCAACAAATAAATAGGCACACAAATAAAAAACATGCAATAAATATTTCAAACTATAAAGATGCACTTGAATATGTAACGTTACATTGCATAGGGTAAATGAGTATAAAAGACTAATGAAATATAAAATATATATCGACGGATGTGCAAATATGTACAGGCAAAATTAAAAGCAAAACAATACAATTGTAAAGATACTGATAAACGCATGTTTTTCCTCAGTTCTCGACACCGACGTCTTGCAGCGGCGTTCTCTTCTTCCGTCCACCCTCGCGGTCGCCGGCCAGATGAAACCAGCGAATGATGGCCTTCTCCACCTCCAGCTCCGTTATCTGCGCACACGTGGGGTTTCTCCTCACAGCCTCTACACACACACACACACACACACACACAGTTCTCAGACTTCTTTATTGTCATTGTCAACAGTCACAACAAAATTCTCTGTGACGCAATCCAGTTTGCAGCATATAAAAACAACAATTCCGACAATCATTAAAATGACAAAGAACAACAAATTTCAATGAATTAATCCAATGATATATAAAAAGAATAAATAGAAATAGAATATAGTCAAGACACGTCAAATCGAGACAGAACTACTCGTGCTGAACTAATAAAAAACTAATTACAAGAATAGTTGAAAGAATACTAATAGCAGCATTAAAATAAATTGTGATATTCAGAATACTCAAACAGTCTAAACACAATTATTATATAGGAGTTATAAAAGTATTTCTCAGTCTGTTAGTATGAGACTGTTAAAGTTAAAGGAGGAGTTCACTTCAGAATTAAAATCTCCTGATAGTTTACTCTCCCTCACGTCATCCAAGATGTTCATGTGTTTCTTTCTTCAGTGGAAAAGAAATGAAGGTTTTTGAGGAACACACTCCAGGGTTTCTCCATATAGTGACTTCAATGGGGTCCAACGGGTCGAAGGTCCAGATGTGAGTTTCAGTGCAGCTTCAAAGTCTCGACACGATCCAGCCGAGGAATAAGAGTCTGATCTAGACAAACCAGCCGACATTTATAACAAAATACACATTTATATACTTTATACCACTAATGCTGGTCTTGCTCGAGCTGTGATGCGACACACATTACGTGATCAGGGTGAAAGGTCACGCGTGTTCCGGTTCTGAAATGTAGGATAGAGCGAGAAACTCCAACTTCAAAATCCGACATCCTTGTTTTACTTTTTATTTATTTATTTTTGTAAATGGCGTTTGACTCAGTCTTTGCACGTTCGCTCTGTAAACACTGGGTCTGTTCTTACGCCTACGTCACGCTTGACCTTTCACCCTGATGACGTAATGTGTGTCGCATCACAGCTCGAGCAAGACGAGCATTAGTGGTATAAAGTATATAAATGTGTATTTTGTTATAAATGTCGGCTGGTTTGTCTAGATCAGACTCTTAGTCCTCGGCTGGATCGTGTCGAGACTTTGAAGCTGCACTGAAACTCACATCTGGACCTTCGACCCGTTGGACCCCATTGAAGTCACTATATGGAGAAACCCTGGAGTGTGTTCCTCAAAAACCTTCATTTCTTTTCCACTGAAGAAAGAAACACATGAACATCTTGGATGACGTGAGAGCGAGTAAACTATCAGGAAATATGAATTCTGAAGTGAACTCCACCTTTAAACACTGGAAGCGCACCGTTATAAATAGAGACGCCACTGGTGCCACAACACCTGGAAGAAGATTTACCTTGAAAGCACTTACCAATCACAACGTTTTTAAACTCTAAACTTTGGAAAGATGTTTTCCCGTTCACACCTCTCCAGTTCACAGTTTTGGCCAAGTCATTTTTGATGGCCTGCTTCATTATTCGCCACACCGTGTCCTTCACGTCCACTCCGCCCAGCAATCCCAGCTCATCCACCTGCATGTTTTTAAAACACCTCTTATTGTGCCGAAAACACATGGTTTAACCCTCTGGGGTTCTTCGGACCAAATGGACCCGAAGAATTTAAATAAAAATATGTGTAAAATCATAGCTTCATCGGAATGGTCCGAAATTTGGTGACTTTGTTGGTACTTGGTATATGAACACCCAAAAAAATTGGGGACAGGATTTGAATAGTCTAAGTGGTTGTAAAAAAAAATGGTCACACTCAGGGTCTTCGGGTCCAAATGGACCGGCCATAGGAAATGAATGGGAAATTGGCAAAAATGTGACAATACAGAGTTGTTTTGTGCGTACAATCAACAAATCAGCCACGATCCAGAAAAAAAGCACACAACAGTGAAGGGGTGAATCTATAAAACATCAAGAGTGCAAAACAGACACATCCACACACACACACACACACACACTTTTATACACAAACACACTAATAAATTCAGATTACATAAATATGTTTTGAATTTTTAAAAAATCACAGCTTCATCGGAATGTTACGAAACTAGGTGACTTTTATGGTATTAGGTATGTGAACAAACAAAAAATATTGAGGTCATGATCCAAGCATGCTAAGTGGTCGTCACACTTCTGCTCTTTGGTCAAAAATGACCCCCATAGGAAATGAATGGGAAATTGTCAGAGTTTTTTTTTTTTGCATACAATCTACAAATCAGCCAGGATGCAGAAAAAAGGACTCAACAGTGAAGGGGTGAATCTCTAAAACATCAAGAGTGCAAAACAGACACACACACACACACACACACACACACACACACACTGTATTATATATTTATAATAATCTGTATTATAAAGTAAAACTGGCACTTCAAATTACCATTTAAACCAAACAAACAAAAAACAAGACAAAAATAGTCTTTGAGAATCTGTTATTATATTTTAAAATCAACAACCTGAAAAAAATTGTCAAAGATGTGCAAAACTCACAAGAATTCTGAACCCTTTCTACAGAGAGCTGTAAATCCACTAGTGGTAAAAATGTGCTATTGCGTGATAAAAATGCTCAGTGTGTCCAGCAGATGGCATCCATCTCATTTCAAAAATTGTTTTCATGAGGCCTAGGCTTGACTCTAAAATGAAATACAGCTTTAAAATTTAAAAAAAAAAAAATACATATTTATAAAAAAATTATTTTATATTCAATGGGAAAAAACGGGTCATAATTATTGCATAAATATTAATTATAAATCATAAAATTTTCTCAAAACACCAAAAAATAAAAGAATTTTTTTTATAAAAAACAAGTAAAAAAATATATATATGATTTTCTTTTAATAAATATGAATCAAACCCTTCCGGACCATTTGGTCCCGAAGACCCTGAGTGTGACCCTGAAATGAAGGACCCCAGAGGGTTAAATGCCATTTAACCAAAACACTCAAACAGGATTTTCTAAGTGACACTGATATTTTGGCAAATTACACTAAAGAATAAATAACTAGAAAGTAATGTTGGCTTGACAAAGACGTATGCAAGTTTGAAAGCTTTAAATTTAGTGAAAAGGAAAGAGAAAGATATTGCTAGCATGAATTAACATTTTTTGCTAACATGTTTTAACACATTAATAACATTAGCACTTTGTTAGCATGAATTAGCATTTTGCTAGTATGAATTAACCGGTTTTAACACATTGATAACATTTAATAAGCATGTTAATAACATGTTTTAACACATTTTAACATGAATTAGAATGTTGCTAGCATGTTTTAGCATTTTGTTAGCATGTTGCTAACGTGAATTAGCATGATTAGCATATTTTAACATGAATTAACATGTTGCTTGCATGTTTTAACATGTTGTCCTAGGATAGTCGTTAAGCTTTGCTAGTGATCGACAGCTTAAAATTAAATACTATATTAAGTCTTTTTAAGTTTAAGTTTTCACCCCCTTATTGAAAGGCTGGAACTTTTCATAGGTTTGATCGTCCGTTTAACAAAAATCGTAAGTTGGATCAGTTAGAAAAGATACAGCGACTGAGTGTGAACAGTCTGAGTTTGGTGGTTGTAGCTTTAAAGCTCTAAGAGAAGAAACTACTTAAAATTTTTGCTACGAATAATAATAATAAGCTTAAATAGTAGATCAACGTTACGTTTTCCACACGCTCTAAGCGGTAGACCAATCACAACACACTGGGGCCGGCCAATCAGAGTAGGCCACACTTTTCAGAAGGCGGGTTTTAAAGAAACCGACTCTAAAACCGAGTGTTCAGACAGAGGATGAAAACAGGTGCCGCAACGATGGAACTTAAGTAGAAAAAACATGAGTTTTTTAATTATTAAATTATGTAAACGTATTCTAAAATGTATGAACCTTTAAGTGAGCGTAATAGGATGTTCATAAAGAGGTCTCTTCAGAAGACTTGGATTAAACCGCTCGATCATATATTTACTGTACAGCCTCTTAATGAATTTTTAGAAGCAGCGAATAGACTTTTAATGGATGGACAGAAATCTCTCAGATT